TTTACCGAGTTCTTGTTTTGCTGGGTCTTGTTTCTGGATCATCTGTGAGCTTGGAAAAAGCCAAAGTTATTTTGCATATCATTGGACCCACTTTTTCATGGCCGAATTACTTTTGATTGGCTATAATTTATTCGGCAGATTTCCATGGAATTCATGAAGCGTGTTGATAAAAGATTTCATTGGTATTGCCGATTCGAAACAAAGAGGCCGCACACTAATTGCAGGGATCAACCGGATAAAAATCTTGGCCGTTGCCACCCGAATGCCTCGAACGGAATCACCCCATCCCCCTCATCGGCAGGCGCGCTGTTGGCGCGCTTGCCGTGATGGCTCGTCCTGACGGAGAGGTGCGACGTTTATACTCATCTCACATTGCTTTGCAGACTTGTTGGTCGACGCCGTCAAGCATTCCATTGCCGCCGCGGTGCTCAAGTGACTTCCTCACAACAGTATTCGGTCACAGCAGCTGCAAAAAGCGTGCAGACCTGACTTTTTTCTTGGGTTCCATTTGTGTAGCATACAGAGGCATCGGCGGAACACACTAGTCGTCGCCCTTTGCATCGAGGGTATGTAGGTCGTGCGTCCAGCATGTGGTCATGTTGCCTCAGGGCAAGCGCCAATGAATGTCGTGCGCACAAGGACCTCCTCACACCCAAGCGGTGCGCAGCCCCGACGAGCACAGTCAATAGGTTAGCATGTCCGCACATTGGCAGCGCCAATAAAGCAAACACCGCGTCTCCCGCGCGTGACTCGGACTCTGGCTTCAACGCGCACGTGTTGTTCTGGTGCACAGCGGAGACTAAAACACGTTAGGTTTGCAACGTTTGTATTTAATTCCTGGGGTTAAAATTGCCTTTGTATTTGTATATTTCGAATTAAAATTCACCGTGTTTTTGCACGACGTCCCACAAAGTCGCCACCCTCCAACGTGTCCGTGGTGACTGAATCGTCCGACCGCGACAGGACGAGTCGAAGGAGATGGGCGAAGTAGGGGAGATCGTGCGCATCGCTCTGCCCAACGATTCGAAGCTAGGGATTGCTATCACCCCGCCGAAGCATGGGGTCACCGTGCGTGGTCTCAAGATTGACAAGGTCCAGAACGAACTCTTTGTCGGACGCATCTCGCACGGCGACTTGATGCTCGAAATTGGCGGGGTCCAGTTGGACGGCATGAAGTTTGCCGACGCCGTGAACCTCATTAAGACTCTGCCGCGACCGCTGGAGCTTACGTTTGAAATCGTTCCGACACACATGAAGAAAACGGTGACGGCGAAAGAAGGCGGCGAGGAAGATTTCGACAAAATCCCATCGTATAACGTCGTACTGGACGGTGACAAGATTGGTTTCCAGCTCGACGACGGGTCCCGCCTTGGGATTGACGGGACGGTTGTCAAGGCTGTGCGGGACCAAGCGGAAGAAGCCGGCATTGCCGTGGGAGATATTGTGTACAAGGTCAACGGCACCGAAGTGTTGTTTATGAGTTTGAAACAAGTCCAGAAGCTCATTAAGGCGACGCTGCCGCCGCGAAGTTTGGACTTTATTCCGAAACTCTACTTGGAGGAGGTGCAGCGGATGAACCAGCAGATGTCGGCGATGGAGAAACAGCTACGAACGCCCATCCCCAAGCACGACACACAGGAAGAAAAGTCGATTACGGAAATCATCAAGGAGCATCGCGCAACTAAAATCAAGGAAGGACCGATGTACAAGCAAGGGCGTATGGTGAAGAACTGGAAGCTGCGCCACGTCGTACTGCGCGTGACCAAGCTCGAGTACTTCAAAGATGCTCGGGATAAGATTCCCCAAGGTATCGTGGACTTTGAAAACTGCCGGTGCACGGTGCGTCCGCTTCCATCCGCCGTCAAGACTTCGTCGACGCCGGGAGGGCATTTGCTCGAACTCGCCGCGGGTGACCGTGTGCTTGTCATGTCGTGCACGACAGAGAACGAAAAGGAAGATTGGCTGGAGGCCCTTCGAGTGGCGATCGATGCGTCCAAAGCAGTGACACGTCAGGAGTCGTCTCTCGGGTATAACCAGGATCCAAACGTCCTGCGGCGCGATGAATCAATTCTCAACAAAACGTTCAAGTCCCTCGAGTCGGGTGCGGTCAAGCGCCGCGAGTCCAACGGTGTCGTGATACCCCCCACGCTGACGCAGCAGCTGTCGATTCAACCGGGCGATGCCGGCCAGTCCGCGGTCAAAATTGAAGTGTGCGCCGTCGCGAACCTCACCAAAGCGTTCTTTCATGTGGTACGTGGTCGTCATGTGTTGAAATCTCAGGCCAACATTGTGCACAGTTGAATCCGTTTTGCGAAGTGACGCTCGGCGCCGAGACGTTCAAAACGCCCGTCGTGCGGGATACGGTCAACCCTGTGTGGAACCAAGATAACAAGGTTGTGTTTGGTGTGGTCGATGACGACGCTGTCATCGAAATCCGCGTGTTTGACGAGCGGTCGTTTCGTGGATCGGAGCTCCTGTCGACACTGACAATTCCGCTCTCGTCGCTGCCCAACAAACAAAAGATCGAACACACGTATCCACTGATCCTGGCAGACCGATCCGCCCACGCATCCATCACGATGAAGTTGGAGTACAGCAAGAATAGCCACGCGGTGCAGGACTATCCTTCACTCCAGATGAACACGCCCGTGCCTGACATGCTGGCCGTGCCGTCCCTCCAAGTCAAGAAAGCAATATCCGAGGCCAACACGACGGGTCTCACGCAAGAAGAAATCGACAAGATGAATGAAATGTCGGAAGTTGCTGATGCCGCTGCCGACGATGCCAGTCGTATTGCGAAGCAAGCCCAGGAACTTGCCAATTCGTTGATCGAAGAAGCTCGGCGGAAAGCTGAGATGGCCATTGAAGCGGCGCAACTGGAGGCGATGGGTCAGAAAGCAGCAGCGGAAGAGGCTCGAGCCGCGGCCAAATTGGCGCGCGAACAGGCCGATTTGCAAATGGCTGCTGCGCGCAAAGCGCAGGAGGAGCTGCACGAGGCCCAAAAACGCAGACAACTCATTCGATCCGGGTCGACGACGGTCAATTTGGGCGGAAGCAGCGGTAAGATGCATTTCAAAGCTGCACGATACAACTCCTGATGAACGACAAGTAGGTGGTCAAAGCGGCGGGTTTGGTCAATTCTTGGCGTATCGTACCATGTTTGTCAAAGAAAAGATGAGTGAAGAAGACGTGCGTGCAAAGATGGTGTCGGACGGCATCGACGACGAACAAATCAATCACTTCTTTGATGGGATTAAGGACTACCGTGCAAAAATGGCAGAGCTGGAGCAGCAGGTGGAAACCCTCAAGCGCGAGCGTAGCATGAAGAAGCGCGAAGAGGAGGCGAAGCGGACAAGTGAACCGTCAGCTGCGGTCATGCTGCAGTCGGGAACGATCTCAAGCGACCAGGAGAAGATTTTGCGCCGTCTACTCAAGTTGGAAAGGCAGTTAAAGCAGGCAGGGATTGTTGTTGCCGAAGACATTCCGTACGAAGAAGCCCAGAAGAAAGTTGAGGAAATCTCCCGCCGCATGGGCGAGATCGGGTCGGCGGACGTGACGCACCCAGACCCTGCGACGCAAAAACTCCTGCGTGAAGAGTATTTCAAGCTCGAGCAAGACATGGAAAAGTACAACGGGGCGCTCATGTTGACAGACGAGTACGCGGCAGAGCAGGAGCGCAAGGAGCGCGAGTGGGAGGAGGAAAATCGTGAAGAGAATGAAAAGGCCTTACGCGCGATCCGTCGCATGATGCCAGTCGACGTCAAATCGATGTCGGAAGCGCAACTCCAAGCAATCGAAACCACGACGGGAAAGAAGCTCTCGCGCGATGTCGCGCTCAAGTTCAAGCGCACGAACGTGCTTGAAATCCTCCGGACAAACCCGATGGATCTACAAAAGAACCATCCGAGTTTGCTTGACGGGCTTCGTGTGACCGGATTGACTGTCACCGAGCGCCGTGCGCTGCACCTACATTTGCGCGAGGTGGCCGAGACGTGGAAGAGCCAGCAAAAAGAAGAAATGGCCGCGCGCAAGTACGCCTGGTTTAAAAGTCTCAAAGATACGTTCAAGACTGCAGTCGGCGCGTACAACCGGCATGTTGCCCAGTACGGACCGCCCGGCAACCATCCGTATGCGACGCGTGATGACCCTGGCGTTGGGTGCCCCATGATTGGGAAGCAGTGCCCGTTGAAAGCCGACGCCGCCCCTGCGTACAACATCGATTTGGGCTTTCCCGAAGGCCCGGTGTACCAGCAAGTGAATGTGACGCTGTCCACTCCCGACGATGTAGGCGCCGCTGCCAAAGCCGAGCTCGAAAGACTCAAAGCTGCCAAGAACGAACAAGCCTCGATCGAGCGCGAGAAAGACCTCAAGGAGCACTACAAACACGTCAAGGGCAACACGCTCGTGCTGGTGAAGGCGGCCAACGGCGCGTGCGAAAACTTGTCGGAGCTAGTCGACAAGATTGAGCAGAAGCAGAAGGAATGGTTCAAGAAAATTCTTAATACCGGTCCGAGTGAGCCGAGTGCTGCAGCCAAGAAAGCCGAAGTTGCTGAATTTGATGACCTCATCCAGGAATTGCGCTTAAAGTCCAACCAGTTTGCCGAACGCTCGGGCATGTACTTGCAAGGACGGCGCAACCCCGAAAAGGACACACCGGACACCCGATCGTTCCACGAGCTCAATCACGTGCTGCTCATGATCGAAGCGGTTGATGATTGCTTTGCGGGACTCGACGACCGAATGAAGAAAATTCGTTTTGACGACGAAAAGCGATTACGCGGCGCGATCAAGACCGTCACGGACGTGACGAACGAGCTCAAGTCGAGGAGTCAAGCCACACTAAAGTCACTGGGACCGAATCCTGCCCTCGCGCGCAAACTCAAATCGAGGGCGGAACTGCTCAAAGAAGTCAAGGCCGAAGCAGCTGCTGCGGCCCCTGCAGCAAGTGCTCCAGAGGACGATACACCGGTCCGACCGCCACATCCCATGATGGGTGGGCGAGGTGGTGGACGTGGCGGCAATCCATTGCTGGCGGCCATCAATGCAAAGAAGAAGGACGACGACGACGACGACACGGGACGCCGTCCGAATCCGATGGGAGGACGCGGCGGAGGCAATCCGCTTATGGCGGCCATCGCGGCAAGAAAAAAAGGAGGCGACGATGGCGACGATGCCCCGCCAGCTCGTCCCCCTAATCCTCTTATGGCGGCTATCGCAGCAAGGAAGAAGCCAGACGATGACAGCGAGCCTCCTGCTCGTCCTGTAAATCCCCTTATGGCGGCGATTGCTGCGAGAAAGAAACCGGATGACGACGATGCACCGCCAGCGCGACCTGTGAATCCACTCATGGCAGCGATTGCAGCTAGAAAAAAGCCCGATGACGACGATACACCCCCCGCTCGTCCTGCCAACCCCCTCATGGCAGCCATAGCTGCAAGGAAGAAACCAGACGACGACGACGACTCTCCTCCAGCACGTCCTGCGAATCCCCTCATGGCAGCAATTGCTGCACGTAAAAAGATTGAATAATAGACGAAGCGTGGTGGCGATGTAAAACGGATGATGCTGCGTTGCCAACAATATCGTTTACACAAGTCAAAGTGGTGTCGAGGACGCAGTCGTGGTCCGCACGTGTCAAGACGAGGGCACGTTCGAGCGCAAGGGAAGCGCCAACGTATCGTCAGCGCCGATACAAAGAAGTCGGAGGCGTCATCAAGATGGTTCGACGCACGACACAACCGGGTGCTTGTGGAGATTGGTTTACATCTTGGGCAGTTACGAATTTAATATATACATCCAATTACAAATATCAAATCAATTTTTAAAACCTGTCGGAAAATTCCTTCGCCGTGGCCAGATCCGAATTTTCGCCACCATGAACAGGTACGAACGGCGTCGCAAAGTGGCCACACGTTGAACGCGCCATCGTAGAATCGACACCACCTTTGCTCGCTGCAAGCATGAAGGAAAGACCGCATTTATCACCTTCATCCCGTGTGGGTACAAGGAAAAGGCCGACACAATTCCGATCCTTCTCGCATGCCAGGCTGGCGGCGCCGATATCATCGAGGTACCTTGTATATGGTCGCCTGACGTTGAATGTCATAGTGGGTGTCTAGGTTGGCATCCCGTACTCGGATCCGGGAGCGGATGGACCTGTCATTCAAAAAGCTCATCAAAACGGCGTCGACCAAGGCATTACGTTCAAAGATGTCCTGCAAACAGTGTCGGATGCACGCGCCCAGGGCTTGACCGTGCCGGTCGTCCTCATGGGGTATTCCTTACTCCCTATTCACGATGTGTGTTCTCACGTGTATGCCGCAGCTACTTCAACAACTTTTTGCAATACGGACTCGACATAGTTTTCCAAGACTCCAAGAAAGGTCCCTTCATCGCGTGATCTTGCAATTGACTCTTTCTCCTCTCTTTAGCCGGTGTTGATGGCTACATCATCGTGGACTTGCCGCCTGAAGAAGCAACCGAATTTAGTGCGGTGACCAAGCAACACGGCATTTGCTTCATTCCGCTCGTGTCGCCAACCACCGTGGACAGCCGCATGCGTATGATCTGGTCGCATTCGCATGCTATGGTCTGACAAATGACGATGTGAATAGCTCTGATCGAGGCCTGCGGTAGCGGGTTCTGCTACGTTGTGAGGTACGCAAGTGAGATAGGGCGGCGTCACGTTGACTCACATGCGGTTGCATGCTAGTTTGACGGGGGTCACTGGCTCCCGCAACGCCCTGCCGATCAACTTGGACGATTTCGTTGCCCGGGGTATGTCAAGTCATGATGGGGTTGCAATTTGATTCATTCATGGACGTGTGCTGGTGTTGACTAGTTCGCAAGCATATTTCCCTTCCCCTCGCACTCGGATTTGGACTGTCCTCCAAGGCGCACGTCGAATCCGCTGGGAAGCTTGTGGACGGCGCCGTGATCGGGTCCAAGATTTGCAACGTCATTGACGAAGCTCCCCGCAACGAACGCGCACAAAAGGTCAAGGAGTTTTGCCTCTCCATCACGCAATAGACTACCCTTGTCCACACACCCCTTTAATTCATCACGTTTGTGGTTGGTTCCAGCAGTCGTCCAGTCAGATATATGCGGCGATGACCTCGCATGTGCCCATTATGATCAAGGAGCGCCCCAGTGTAAGGCTGAGCGGACCCACCCCCTATGGCGACAGTTAAATTCGAGGGCCTTCTTTGACATGTCCTTGACATAAGGACATAACGTCACCAAACATACTGCCCCGCGAAGCTTGCATGCCACGCCGTCACCCAAACATCCACCCCTTCAAACAGAATTTGCATGGACGCGGCAACACATGTGGAGGCAAACACACCATCATCCTGATGCATCACGTCAATGGGCCCTTTCAAAATTCGCTTATACGCCGCCAACTCGAACGTCTTCCTATTTCTGGATGTACCCAACGGTGGTGTGGCTTGATGTTAAGACTGGTGTTTTGTCCCAATAAGTTTGAACAGCAGCTGGCGCAGCGGTGAATGCTTCGAGTAAACCCGGACATGGCATCGCCCGCGTGGGTTCAAATCCCCGCGGCGGCGATTGTTTTCTTCGCAATCTTCGAAGTCTGGCGTGTCCGTTCGATTGGACTAAGGGCCGGGTCAATTTGATTGCAATAAAGTATACCAGGCGACGTCAGGGTGTCAGTGCTGGGTTGGGACAGCGTCCCACGTCTCAGACGCTGCCAATCGACGTCGTCACAAATTCTTTTAATTGGCTGGTAGAAATGTGGTCGAAGATGATTGGTTCAAATGCAAACTCTGAGGTTGGAAAGATCGCACGAGTCGGGAAGCGTCATGTCTGCCGCGGACCACAAAGCACGGGGAAATGAAGCGTTCCAGGCAGGCCGATATGCCGACGCCATCGACAGCTACTCACTTGCGTTGGACTTTGATGGAGACTCGGCATGGAATACCGCCATCTTGTGCAATAGAGCGTTCGCACGACTTCAACTTGGAGCTCCAGACCAGGCTGCCCTCGCTGAAGTCGACTGCTCAACTGTGCTTCAGCTTGATCCTGTCAACGTCAAAGCGCTCTTTCGACGAGCCCAAGCACGGATGGTCCTGGCAAACCTGACGGTATAGTGATGAACGGCGCTCAACACGTGGTCATCGCCGTGCAAATAGGGTGCAAAGACCGACCTCGAGTCGATTGTTAGCCTAGAGCCTGGAAACCCACAAGCGAATGAAACCCTCGACAGAGTGCGAATGCAGCTTGCTGCCCAAACGAATAACGGGATGTTCAATCCTGCCTTCCAGGCGAACCTCCTGCGCGGTATTGCCCCAGTCACTTTGTATTCACCACCTCCCCCTCATCGCCTCAAATCCCCACGCCAATGCAAAGTGCACGACGTAAATCATCGTAACAATGAAGACTTTGCAGAGGCGCTCCGTCAGTGCTCCATCGTCGCCCACGAAGAAGCGGAGTCTCATGCATCACGAGACAAGAAGGTCTCCTTGGCCGCGTGGGAGGATTTGCAAGCCCAAGAGCGATCTGTGACCAAGTCGACTCGAGGAGTTACCAAGCAAGTGAAGCGAGCTGCCAACCGAGTGCAATCGTCTGGAATGTCCTCCTCCACTGCCGCAGTAAAGCCAGGGCCCATCAAAGTCCACACGGATGCTCTGTGGGCCCAATTGATGGAAGACGAGGTCAAGACTTGCTCTTTGTACAAGGCCAAAATTCGGAGTAAGCAGAAGTGGTCAGAATAGCGCGGCAAGTACATTCGACTGAATGTAACCTGACTCTGCCCTCGCACACGGAATGGACACGGGCTTCTCCTTTGCTTCGACCACCTAGGTTCCCCTGTGCTGCAAGTCTAGGCATTCCCCTTTGCCGGCGCGGTTTGCATTCTGTCCTAGCTGTCGGCAGTACGCTGCCCTTGTTTGCTACTCCGTCGATGGACAAACCGTGTCGAACGGGCATTGAAGGTGCACCCAACTGGTCTGACTGGTTTAAATTCTGTTACGTGGACGTCGCCGGCTTCCGTCGCAGGATGGCACCCATTCCTGTTCAACTCAGTGATCGAGCGAGAACGACGTGGGGAATGCCTTCGTGCGTCGCCACCTCGTTCTGGCCATCTGTGCTTGCAGCTGGGCATCGACCATCCAAAGACGCCCAGCGTTACGATTCGATCGGAGAATCGTCTCAGGTTTTGTATATCGTCCGAACTGCATGCGTGGCCATGGGGCGACATATTAAAATCAAGTCTTCCTGACCATGCGCGTCAACTTGGAGGGTGGCATCCGATAATCGTCCACTCTATTGAAACAAGCATCAAACACTTCAAAATCAACGCAAGAAATAGCTTATAAAGATTAAGGTGACAAAACAGCTGAGATGTGGTGTCACAAATATATGCATATAGAAGGATGACCTTGAATATAAGTATCAGATCGCCTGGCCCAGCCAATCAGGTTGCAGCGAGTCCTGTGGTGCCAGGAAGGCCTGGAATTCAATGCAAGATCCGTTTCGCCGAGGGGCTTTCCCCCGTTTAAATTAATATTGCTTGTCCATACGATGATGAAGCTTCAATTCTTTGCATGAAAAATATTTCCCCCCGGGGATATGCCTCGCATCGTTGAGTCGAGCGTTGAGGCCACTACGTCGGGATCGCAGCGACGCCATTCGCGATGTTCCGCTCCATCACGCACCTCCGCAGCCGCGCGGCCATTGTACGCGCTTCTCCTAGGGCTGGAATGTGCGTCCTGTGTTCTCATGTCATCCTAATAGGGCAAGGTCTCGCATGTGTCTCGCGTGTTCTCGACCGCCGACACGTACCGCTTGACGGACCAATTCGCTCGCCGCCACATTGGTGCGGGTGAAGAAGACACTGCCGTCATGCTGAAAAAGATCGGTCTTAACTCCATCGAAGAGTTGATCCATAAGACCGTGCCGTCGGAAATCCGCTTGACCAAGCCCCTCGACTTGCCTGCCCCGATGAGCGAAAGCCAAGCGTATGCTGCGTTGAAGAAGATCGCGTCTCGAAACAAGACGTACAAGTCGTTCATCGGTGCTGGTTTCTACGACACGCTGACGCCGTTCGTGATCAAGCGCAACGTCCTCGAAAACCCTGGCTGGTACACGGCGTACACGCCGTACCAGGCCGAAGTGTCCCAAGGCCGTTTGGAAATGCTGCTCAACTTCCAAACCATGGTGAGCGACTTGACGGGGTTCCCCGTCGCCGGTGCGTCCTTGTTGGACGAAGCCACCGCCGCCGCGGAAGCGATGGCCCTTTGCAACGGCGCGTTCAACGGCAAGCGCTCCAAGTTTTTTGTCTCGAGCGACGTGCACCCCCAAAACTTGGCGGTGTTGAAGACCCGCGCTGAGGGCTTCAACATCGAATTGGTGGTGGGCAACCCGTTGACCGATCTGGACTTTTCGTCCAAGGAGTACTCGGGCGCTCTCATCCAGTACCCCAACACGTTCGGTTCCATCGAAGACTACACCAAATTGACGGAAGCTGCCAAGGCGAGCCAGTCGCTTGTCGTGGTGGCGACGGACCTCTTGGCATTGACGCAATTGAAGTCGCCCGCTGAGTTTGGCGCGGACATTGCGGTCGGGTCAGCTCAACGCTTTGGGGTGCCTCTCATGTTCGGTGGTCCCCACGCTGGTTTCATCTCGACGTCGGAAAAGTACCATCGCAAGCTGCCTGGGCGTATCATCGGTGTCTCCAAGGACTCTCGTGGCGAGCGCGCGCTCCGCATGGCCATGCAAACTCGTGAACAGCACATCCGTCGTGACAAGGCCACGAGTAACATTTGCACGGCCCAAGCGCTGTTGGCTAACATGGCTGCCTCGTACGCCATCTACCACGGCCCTGACGGTCTGCGCAAGATCGCTTCGCGCACCAACTTGCTTGCGTCGACTCTGGTGGCTGGATTGCCCGACCATACGAAGGCGAAGCTGGTGAACAAGCACTTTTTCGACACGGTTGAACTCGATTTGGCTGGGTCGGGCGTCAACGGCGCCGAAGTGCAGCGCCGCGCCAACGCCCATGAAATCAACGTGCGCGTGTTGAGCGAATCGCGTGTGAGTGTGTCGTTTGGTGAAAGCGCCGAATTGGAAGACGTCGGCAAGCTCTTGTACGCATTGGGCGCGAACGAAGTTGTGTCCGCTTCTGCCTTGGACTCGTTGAAACCCGCGGCGGCCAAGATCCAGTCTGCGAGCATTCCTGCGACACTCAAGCGCACGTCGCCGTTCCTTGTACACCGCGTGTTCAACTCGAAGCACTCGGAAACCGAACTCATGCGTTACCTCAAGACTTTGGAAGACAAGGATTTGGCGCTCAACACGTCCATGATCTCGCTTGGGTCGTGCACGATGAAGTTGAACGCGGTGGCCGAGCTCGAGCCCGTGTCGTGGCCCGAGTTTACGAACGTCCACCCGTTCGCCCCCGAAGAACAAACGTTGGGGTACTTGGAAATGATTTCGACCTTGCACAAGGCGCTGGCGGAAATCACTGGCTTCGCCGCCGTGTCGTCGCAGCCCAACTCGGGCGCGCAAGGCGAGTACGCCGGTCTCTTGGCCATCCGTGAATTCCACAAAGCCAACGGCGAAGGCCACCGCAATGTGTGTTTGATCCCGGTCTCTGCCCATGGCACGAACCCTGCCAGTGCCGTCATGGCCGGCATGAAGGTCGTCGTGGTCAAGTCGGACGATGCCGGGAACGTTGACCGCGTCGACTTGGAAGAAAAGGCCAAGAAGCACGCGCATGAACTCGCCGCGTTCATGATCACGTACCCTTCGACCTTTGGTGTGTTTGAAGAAGGCGTCAAGGACATGTGCGCGCTCATTCACAAGCATGGCGGCCAAGTCTACATGGACGGTGCCAACATGAACGCCCAAGTCGGTTTGTGCAACCCTGGCGGGATTGGCGCCGACGTGTGCCACTTGAACTTGCACAAGACGTTTTGCATTCCTCACGGTGGCGGAGGTCCTGGTGTCGGATCGATCGGTGTCGCGGCCCACTTGGCTCCGTACTTGCCTGGTAACCCCGTCGTGTTGACCGGTGGCGAAGGTGCCAACGTCGTCAAGAAGGCCGACTTGACTGTGAGTGCCGGTCCGTTCGGGTCCGCTGGCATCCTCCCCATCTCGTGGATGTACATCCACATGTTGGGCGAAGCTGGCTTGGTCAAAGCGACGTCGCACGCCATTTTGCATGCCAACTACATGGCCAAGACGCTGGAAGACCATTACGACATTGTGTTTCGAGGCAAAAACGGAACGTGCGCGCACGAATTCATCATTGACATTCGCCCGTTCAAAGCGCACGGCATCGTCGAAGAAGACGTGGCGAAGCGTCTCCAGGACTTTGGCTTCCACTCGCCGACCATGTCGTGGCCCGTTGTGGGAACGCTCATGATTGAACCGACGGAAAGTGAAAACCTGGCCGAAATGAACCGATTCTGCCAGAGTTTGATCTTGATCCGTCAAGAAATCGAAGACATCGTCCAAGGCAAGATCGCCGTCGAAGACTCGCCGTTGAAGCACGCCCCGCACACGGTCGACGTGGTGACTGCCAACACGTGGGACCGCAAGTACTCGCGCACCCAAGCGGCGTTCCCCGCCCCGTGGCACAACGAAGGCAAGACCAAGGCGTTCTGGCCGACCGTCGGCCGCGTCGACAACGTGTTTGGTGACCGCAACCTCGTCTGCTCGTGCCCACCCCTCGACTCGTACATTGAAGAATAATCGTAATGCGAATTTTACCTTGCTTGGCTCTCGTGGCGGCTCTCGTTGGAAGCATCCAGCGGGTGGTTTTGTGTGGGAGTTTGGAAATAATTGCAATGGCTGTTTGGTCTGCAGATGGAATCGATCTCCTGGGGCGCACGCCGACCGTCGCTCTTGCATCTGTAAACAGGGTGGCGGTGCTCGTGAAGCGATGATGTTTTTACCTGCCGAGGATGGCCTGGACATCGTTGCCACGATGGCAAGTTTATCGCGATATGGATCTGGTGGACAAAAGACTGCTGTATATCGGGAAGGGATGCATGCACCCACAGATTCGATGGCTGGGAAGCGCGACGCATTGTTACTAGACTAGTACGTGACTACAGCGCATGCGAGCCGCGGAATGGAGCGTTCATGGAGCTCGACTGCTTGCTCGCAAACGAGTCGGAGAGGTGCCCGTCGCTCGAATAGCTCGGCCGAATCGAGTAGCTGTCAGTTTGATTCCAAGGATATACGGACGATTCAAATTCCTTGGACGCGCCGCCCTGCGGGCTGGTTGTCATCGCGCTTTGCCACAAATTAGGGGAATCGGCGCTGCCGTTCGCCCGGCGCGTGGCATCACCCGTCGAACTCGACGAACTCTGTCGAGGGATGTCGAGGCCGTTCATAAACTGTTCTTCGATTGGGAGACTCGCACATCCAACGACGAGAGGCGGGTCGGCAATGGGAGAAGTCGGCGACACGACTGGAGGAATGTTGCGCAGGAAATGGCTCGTGGACAGATTCGACGTGTACCCCACGTTCGGGGAACTCAAGTTTCCGCCGTAATTGGAAATGACGTCGTCATCATGGCCTTCGTCCTTTCGCGATCGCTTCATGAGAAAGACAAACCCGATGCCCACGACCAACACACCAACGGCACCGCCTAGGATGATCCAAACCACGTTCGTCTTGGAGGTGCTTTCCGCGGGTTTCGCGGTGGGTACCGCCGACGTTGCTTCGATGTTGATGGTTGCATTCGTCGTTGTGGCAGGAGTTGTGGTGGGGACTGGCGCCTCCGTGGTGGTGGTACCAGGTGGACTGGTCGTAACAGGTCGTAGCGATGTCGTGGCTGGAGAGGTAGCTGGAGAGGTAGTCGTTGTGCCAGTCGTTGTCGAAGGAGACGTCGTCTGAGGCGGCGCGGTGGTGACCGCAGACGTAGTAACTGGTGGTGTGGTGACTGGCGTCGTCGTCACGGGAACCGAGGTGGTAGTTGTGGTCACAGGAGTTGTGGTTGTCGTGGTTGGTGGTAATGTGGTTGTTGTCGGATCTGGTGTAATTGGAGGTGGAAGGGTCGTTGTGATGGGCGGCGGCGTGGGGGATGTGATCGTTGGGGTCGGCGTCTCGCTCGAATTCTGGGCGGCCGCCAGCACGAGCAAGGAAAAGAGGATTGGTATGCACTTCATCCGTAGGACGTTGTACTACGACGATGGGCGTAGTGAATTCGAAAATGGCACGCCGCGTGACGAGGCCAAGCACGGTCCGTCGGTGATATTGCCAACGGCATCACGTATTATCTCCTGACGCATGTCGTCGTGACACATTACGTTTAAACAGCTTCTACCCATCCCAAGTTTGGTTTAAACACCATGTCCACCATGTCTACCGTGTCAAGAATTGACAGATGAATCGTTCGATTCGACGTTATATAGGTTTAACGTCACTGCCCAAGACGTTGGTCGTCGGTACATGTCCGTGCCCTTCCATCTGGCGGTGTGTGTTTGGCTGCGGATGAACAGTTGCAATTCCGAGTGTCAAAATTTGACGTCGGTCGTGACCCTGGTCCAGAACAGTTCTGGCGACGGACGAACGGTTCAGCGCATCCCTGGCGTCCTTGTGGAGGGACGGGGTCCTTCCTGTTCACTGTCCGCCCTGCTCCGGGCATTTCCAAATAATGTAAAGCCTGGCACGACGTTCAAAGACGCTATTGTGGCCCCCTACACTGTACTGAAGTGGGACTTTTGAAAAATAGTGTGTGACACACTGGTGTCTTGCGCATCGAGAAACGCTCGAATTACTGCTCATAGTGCCGACGGAGGACAGTTCAACTGGTTTTGTCAACCGACGAAACGTCAGTTTATCGCCACTGGAATGACCTCCGCGACTGTGGCAAGCACCACCTCGACGTAGCGCCGAACGTGCCCGCGCCATTACTGGCGTCCACGTCGCACGGGCGCCGCGTGAGTGCAACGATAGAACAAACTCTGTGATGTGTTTACAATTCATACGACCCACGCTCGGCGTTCGACTCCTTGTGCACGGGAAAGTCGGTGTGATCGAGGTCGGAGCTCATGTGGCTTTGGAAGCTGTTGCGCGTCCCAAAGCTGCTGTCTCGACTGACTTCGCTCTGCGAGTCAAAGTCATCGTTGAACGCGGAGTGGTTGGCACTGCTGTTGTAGCTGCTCGATTCAAACTCGTGGTCGAACGTGGCTTCGTGGTGAGATTCCTCGTGCATGGCTGATGACCACGCCTTGCTGCCACCGTACGTGCTGTCGTGCAAGTTTCTCGACGACAGGTGTTCGTAGCTGTTGTCTTCTTGTGCTGATCGGAATGTGTTCAATATGGCCGAGTTGTTGATCTGGGCTGTGCGGTATTCCGCAGCTGGCGCCTGGAGGATCGGAACAGGAGATGGATTCGGTCGCTGCTGCGGCTCGTGCACCATGTAACTGGAAGGAGCTGCTTTCGCAGGCTCGTATGACGGATTTGGCGGTGTTGGGGTGGGTTTGTACGGCGCTGGAGCGGACGCGCCGAAGTTGGAGCTGTTGTTGATGTCCTTGAAGCCTGGGGACACAGGGTCGTCGTCCTCGTCGTCATCTTTGCGCTTCATGAGGAAGAACACGCCTGCTCCGATGAGACCAAGACCGACGACAACACCGGCAGCGATTCCAATGTACGTGCCGGTGCTGGACCCTTCGTCAGACGACGGAGGAACGGTGGGCTTGGCTGTCGTCGTAACTTTCGCAGTGACGCTCGTGGTTGAGCCGTCGAGGGGGTCGGTTGCAACAGGTGCTTCAGTCGACGATGCCGGCGAAGGTTTCTGTGAGTCCTGCGATTTCGTAGGCGTGGGGGTTGAAGACGACGAAGGCGCCGGGGTGCTCGATGGACTAGTTGTCGTTTGGGAAGGCGCTGTCGTAACGACCGTCGTGGTAGGAGCACCCGATGTGGTGGTAGGCGTGGTTGTCCCTGGAAGAGTCGTAGCTGGAGCAGCGGTGGTGGTGACTGCGACGGTCGTGAAGGGTTTTGCGGTTGTCGTGACGGTGGCGGTCGTTGGGTCTTCTGTCGTCACACGAGGAGTCGAGTCTTGCAGAGCGCGGAGGCTCGCTACATGAGCAGTTGCATGACGAAGGCACTTCACGACGTCGAGCGAAAGCGGCACGCGTACCTGGACCTGCCATCGCGGACGCGACGACGGCAGCGAGGAGGAGGCGTTGGACGCCCATCTGGAAAAGCCAGGAGTGAGTGGGTAGTTGGCGAGAATGCGCTCTGTGCACATCGAGGCAGTGTGACAAACGGAGATCGTATGCCCCACGCTGTTGCACCTACTAGTCACGTACTAGACAGCCTGCCCACTCCTCCCCACTTCTCCGCTGCCAACTCGAGCAGGAGAGGGCACATTCGTTGTTAGTATTCCTAAACCTTCCAGATGGTCACATTCCACATGCGGCTTGGGCGGAGATCTATGGGTTGCGCCGCCAGTCGTTGTGTCCTCTGCAGTCTCTGTGGTGCCCGATGTCTAGCCATGCGAAGAATCGATAGACAAGACCACTGCATTGCCTACTGCTAACTTCCCTACGGGCGATCCAGACAGCGCTGGATAGTTTGAGGACACTTTCCCTGGAATTACAAATTGTTTCAGGATTGCCTGCACCGTGACGGAGGGGTAGACCGCTGTAATGGGAATGATATCGCGACCATGTTTTGGGTACAGTACAACTTCACGACGGTCTTTCGCCTGTGCCATGCCCTCTTCCACTTCTGTGGGGGGGAGCGGAAGGAACGAGCGGCGTTGTGTCATAAAATGGGAGGCTGATGGACGGGCCATGGTCGTCACCTGCCCTGTCACGCGTGGCTGCCGAGAACATCAGCGACATTACAACGCAACTTCCTTCGAAGTCCCGACATGGTCCTGCCCACCGTTCGTCGAAAGCTCCAAATCGACGACCTTTCCGTCGATGGCATCTCGGACGAAGGCGACATCATCCCTGCCTCCACCGCCCCCCCCACGTCCCCCGCCACTTCGCGCCGTACCTTGCTCCCTCGTCAAACTCGACCTCCCATGACGACAAACCATCAGTCACCTTCCCCCGTACCAACCACCGACCCCACATTGAATTCGCCACGTCCAACGACTGCGCCGTCGTCCCCAACATCGGAGCCACCCTCAACGCCCCGTGCAACAACGCTCCTACCCACGACCGTGTCGACAGCCCCCACAACGACGGCGTCCACCCCCACGACAACATCGTCCCCAGTTTCCTCGACTCTGCTTCCCACCACAACAAGTGCTCTCATCACAACAAGTGCCCCCATCACAACAAGTGCTCTCATCACAACAAGTGCCCCCATCACAACAACAGCCCCCACTACCACCACCACACCGACGCCAACGACTACAATGACAACAATGCCAACCCCCAAACAATCGCCAAGTGGATCCATGCTCTTACTTCCTCCAGAGTATGGCACGTGGGGCAGCAGTTCTCCCCCGCCAGCATCGCTGCCCCCCGACGCTATGTTGGCTGCAGAATCGACGGGGGACCATCCCTCCACACTTCAAAGCTTGCCGTTCCCGGCAAGTGCCATCGTTGCGATGGTGGCCGGCATTCTCGCTGTGCTCGTGACGGCGGGCGTTGTGGCGTACTATCGTCATCGATACCGGCAAATGAGTTTGCAGTACCTCCGCAACATGCAATCCACCGCATGGACATTTGACGACACGACAGTCGACAACGACTCGCACGCTCCGTCGGGCCCCCCTCGGTCCCCTTCCATGTCGATCTGGACCAACCCGAATCGCCCTGCGTCCGAGTTTTCGTCCGGGTTCAAGTCCCAGTGGCAGCGTCACGCTGTCCCGTCCCCGAGGTCCATGACAGACTATCAAAGCCGTCGGGCGCGGTTGCCATCTCTGCAAACAGAAGTCAACCACGACGCTCTGCGTCACAATGGATGGCATCATGCTGCGTCCAACGTCTCGGGTGCTTCCAAGCCACCAGTTGTGTCCTCGGGCCATGCCATGCCCGGCAGCATCGAGAGCTTGAGTCGGTTGGAGCCTGCGCAACGCATGCACTTGAATCGCCAAGGACACAACTTGGTCTATGACACGCACCACGCGAGCTACACGAGCGCTTACGATCACGAGTGCAACTCAGCCATCAGTTGCAAATCATCGGGGGAGGAGTCGACGCCTCGCCCGAAACGCAGCACGCGGGGCGAGACCAAATTGAGCATGTCTAGCTGGGATGAGCCGTAGCTCGAACGCATTCCCTCAATCATTGCGGCAACAAATACATTACGATACCGAGGAGCGTGGAGGAACCTTGGGTAAAAGTGGGAAAATATTGAAACCTTCCACGAGCAGAGAAAAGCCGATCGTGCCAGCTTCGCCTTTGACGAGGTTGAGCCCAAGGACGTTGGAGGTGAGCACGTCGTACACGTGCAGCATGGATTTGTGCAGAGCATGGTCCTGCCGTCGCCAAGTCGTGGCGGTCGGTGGGGCATCCACCGACGTCGCTTCAACGAGTTCGTGGAGCTCTTGCTCAAGAGATGCCGTCCACTCCTCCCAGATGGAGTGGATGGACCCTGTTGTCGACAATACACGCAGTACCTACTCAATAAGCATGCACCGCATCGCAAAGTTGTCGCCCACCTCGCTCAGAACGTCGGGATGGAAGAGCGAGTGCAGCACCGAGTCAGCACGTAGGAGGTTTGCAACAGATGCCACGTGCAAGTTCACACTCAAGGTCTAGTCCGTCCAGGGAATTTGTGAAAAGGAAGCACGCCGTCGGGCGTACCTTTGAGAACTTGAAAAACTTTGCGAGTTTGTCGGCCCACATGTGCCATTTTCGAGCCACGTCCTGCTGACTTCGCTTGACTTGTTCATTCCACGACATCGCAAGTCGCGGGTCGGATTTGCTCGGGGTGGTTGATGCGGTGGACGAGGCAGAAGTCGCGATGAAATGTTCGTTGTGCTGCTGTAATTCCCGGTGGATGATTTCGTCTTCCACATACCGAGATGATGCTTCGTATTTTGCCTGGTAACATGCTTGCTAGATGACGTTGCAGGTGTGGGGTCTCTTCAGAGCAAACGCATAGTGCTTACCTCAACGATTTGCCCGCACGCCTGCCGGCCCACGCACACGTTCAACACGGATCGAACCGCAAAGTGCTTAGCAGGGTTGAATCGTTTGTTTGTAAGGATTTCGTTGGCCGACACGTTGAAGAGCGCGGTCCAGCGCAGTCGACTGACGAGTTGGTCGAATTGAAGCGACGACGGAAAGCCGAGGTAGAGTAAAAAGTTGAACGGGTCCATGGCCTCTGTCAGCAGGACAACCACGCGGACGATTGTTGTGCCGTGAGTTTGGGTCTTTGGCGGCGACAACACTGCAATCCGACATGACTGTGCTGAGTTCATCGGCCACTCCTGGTGGGTGGCTCCATGGCATTTGTGGATTCACAGCCACATGCCGCGCACCGCTCACACTTCCATACAACGGACGTACCAAGGAGCTTGTGAAAACAGGGCAAACTTTTCAAGTGGCCGAGCCAGGTCACGTCGAACAGTGTCTTCATGGCCGTGACCGTATCGGCCAACTCGACGTCCGTTATGTCTGGCTTGGTGAGAAAGTCCATGTAAACAAAGCACTCGGCGCCGTCTTCGCGATATCCCAAATTGTGCAGCGTCGCCGCGGCTACACCATGCCGATGGATGAGGGAAACGAGCTCTGTGCTTCGCATGGAAATGAAGTGTGGAGATATCGCATTCGACATACAGTCACAGTCGCAAGTGTACGACAGGTGGAGCTCGGCGTTGGCTGCAAAGTCTTTGCCGACGTCGACCTTGACAATGTAGTCGCCTCGGTCGTTCGCGTTGTGCACGGACTTTCCAGTCAGGTAGGGGACTACCGATCGATGTCACAACGACACCGTAGTCGCGATCACGCCAGAGATCTTACGATTAAGAAGACCAGTGAGGGCCGCGCGCTGGATCCAAGTTGCGCACTGGGCGACTGCCGCCTTTGCACGTCGAATCCAGCCATACGAATGGACTTTGGTGCTTTGCCCAACGTGCTGCCACCGCTACGTGTGTCGTAAGCCATGATATGGTCGCTCGATTTGGTACCGGTTGGGGTAATGGAGCCCAAGACGACAGTCGGAGCGCCACAAACGTATCGCGGTAAATGTGTCTTTCGTCGTGGGCATCGACGCGAGACAGTTGCTTGTACCCAAACAGACGAATCGCCCGATTTCGCTGGAGAATCGCGTCCATGCATACAGCATGCGCACGCAAGTGATAGACGAGCGCGTCCACCTAGATTGGCCATCGTGATGCACACAGTCAACCCGCCGCAACCTTGCGTACTTGGGTCTGTGTCGTGACAACGCCGCTTTCGCCAAGTAAGTATTGCAGTTGGCTCGACGGTAGTTTTCCTTTGCCAGACATAGGTGACCTGGGAGTGACTGGAATGTGCCAAGGTACCTGCTTTGTCAGTGTCGTACGAGTCAAAGAGGCGCTGGAGCTGAATGTGACGCTGCAAGCCGTCCCACAGCCAATGCATGCCCAAGCGAATCAAGTCGTTGGCGAGGCTGTTGGACGACTCGGTGGCCTCTCGATACATGCAGAATCCCTGCGCGTGAAGGCCATCGTGACGGAAGTAGGTCGATTTGCTTCATTACACGTAGCGTGAGGTGGCTTTGGGTGTCAGTGTCGTACATATCGCTCATGTACATGTTCCACACTTCTTCATGCCGAAGGACGACATTCAACGTGTCCTAGCCCATGAAACGACCGTGAGATGATGCATGGTGCTAAAGGTTCAAGTTGGGGTTCCGTACACTTTCTGCGAGAACCCCCCGCACCACAGTCACGTACGCCTTGAACTCGGTAAAGCTCCACACACTGTCACGGTCGTCGTCGAAGAGACGAAAGATCTGTGCACACTTTTGAATCCCAAGGTCGCTCAACTGCATAGAATCATGCGTCGACGTTGGGAGGAACAGGTATGTGCTGTTCAGCACATCATCGCCATCTTTCTCCTGAAGGAAGTAAGCCGAGTGATATCCATCGGGATCTCCTTCACTTTGCTTGATGAGTACGGCCGTGTGCTCCAATCTGTCTAAGATCCGCGCGCGTTCGTTCGATCGCGCCGACAAATCCATTTTCGTCAAGTTTCGAATGCCAATTGTCCGGAAAATCATGGCCTTTTCGTTATACGGATGATAGTATGTATCCCAAAAGGACGACTGACGTGGAATGCAGAAAGAAGACTTCGACGTGATCGTGCTGGGGCTCGGCGGCATGGGCAGCAGTGCATGCTTCAATCTGGCCCAGCGCGGCCTGTCAACTCTTGGCATCGAGCAGTTTGGCATGGCGCACGCGCTGGGAAGTTCTCACGGGAAGAGCCGTCTCATACGAAAGGCGTACGCCGAACACCCGAGCTACGTGCCGCTGCTGCAGCGCAGTTATGAATTGTGGGATGAGCTGGCAGCACTGAGCGGTGAAGATCTCTTCCACCGCACGGGACTACTTTACGTCGGCCATGCCACGGACTCGGAAATGCTTCGTGGCGTTGAAGCCAGCGCAGCAATCCACGGCCTCCCTATTGACCACTTGACAGCCAGCGACTGCCTCGCCAAACATCCTTCCTTCATCGTACCAGAGGGATACAGAGCCATATTTGAAGCCGACGCAGGATACATCGTCGTCGAGCGCGCCGTCGCTGCCTTTTGCACGCAGGCCGAACGCCATGGTGCAGAGCTGCACTTCAACGAGCAGGTGCTGAGCTGGAACAGCACTGGCGATGGCGTTACAGTGACCACGAACTATGGTGCCTACCGTGCGAAGAAACTCGTTGTAGCGGCAGGGCCGTGGGCATCGTCGGTGCTGTCGGATGCTGCTCTCCCGCTCACTGTGCATCGAGTGCCCCTCTTCTGGTATGACGTCCCAGCGCGTTCAGTACCATCGCTGAACGGGATGCCTTGCTTTGGGTTTGATATGCCGTATGGATTCATCTATGGCTTTCCACACACACCCGACGATGGCCTCAAGATCGCTGCCCACGTCGTGAACGAAGCCACCGCCGTCGCTTCGAACGATCCTGCCAACGTCGACCGCACCACCTTCCCAGCCAGCGAGGAAGCGCTCGTGCGCAAGTGCATTCAGTCTTGTTTACCGTGCGTCCCATCGCCAGTGCCGCCCCGTTCGACCGTCACGTGTATGTACACGATGTCTCCCGACGGCCACTTTATCCTGGATTATCATCCATCGCATGCCAACATTGTGATCGCCGCTGGATTCTCCGGCCACGGGTACAAGTTTTGTCCCGTCGTGGGGGAAATCATCGCTGATTTGGTACAAGCCAAATCGTCGTCGTACGACTTTGCGTTTTTGAGATTGCACCCGACCCGGTGGAAAGATCCACACCCTGCCTCCATGTCTCCGCGGAGCCGTCGTGCCAACTAGTGGCCTCTGTCGTTCTATCGACCCGTGCCATTGCACAAACCTCTTTCTCCCCTTCAGTACACACTCCTCCTTGTACATGCATCAGTATGCTGCGTCCTCGCCAGCACGTCGATTCCATCGCACTGGATGGCGTCGACAATGAGCTCCTTGGTTCGTCTCAAGGCCAGTTAGCGGGTGCTGACGTGCCATGCCTCTTCTTGTACACTGAGCGAAGCCACGTCCCAAATCTGATGGGCTACCAGTATATCAACTGAATAGGTGAGCAACATTCGCTTCGGCGGACGCCCACCATTATGTTATGCAGCAGGCGATTGGGATGGCTCGAGGAGGATGGATGGAGGAGACATTTGTCGACAGACGACAGCTTCGTCATGGTTTTATAAATACGATCGGTACAGGCCCAACGCTTCCCCTAGATGATCTCTACGTGTTCTCGGGACTTGTCGCCAAAGAATTCAGTCCGTGGAAAGGTCGAATGAATCGTCTGGAGAAAATGCGCCGTGTCGAGGTACCCCTCACTGGTCGTGGCACGCAACACCATCATGGCGTTGTCGTTGATGGGCGAGGCGGAGTCGATCCGCGTCAGAGAGTGAGTCGTGTGCAAGAAAAGCGATTCGTCCACGAACGAGTCGACATCCTCTCGAGCGTTTGCTGGTGGTTGATGGTACGGGCGCGGAGCCAGAATGTTGCTGGTGCGGATGACGGATGATGTCAAGTCGCGATGAGCGATGAGTGAACTTTTTCGACGGGTGCTCAAACTGTGGACAGAGTACTGGTCTTCGCTACCATCTTGGTCGTAGTTCTCTGGCAGATCCATCATCGCCATGCCGTAGTCATTTTCAGTCGCCATGTCCATTTCCGCCTGGAACTGGGCATTTCGTCGACGGGAAACGATTACGATCGCTGCGACGACGGACGCCGACAACCCCACTGCAATCGAGAGCAAGACGGTCGTGGTCGAGCCATCCGACGACGGCTTGGTGGCTTGGGCTCCTAAGACTGGGATTGGCCCTTCTGCGTGGTCATATCGTTCCCTTGGGGTCGTCACTGGCGTGGTGGCTGTGTCATTTAACAAGCCACCTTCAACAGGATCGCCATCAGCAGCGTCCAGTGCGTCGTTGCCGGGGTCATCGACGTCTTCGTATGTCGAGGAAGGAAGCGGGGTTGTCGGGGTGAGGGTGGTTTGACACGTCGATGGGAGTGCTAGAAGCGCGAATAGAGCCGCCGCGATGGCTCTCGGGAGGTGCATGGACCGCGCCGGGCACGTGGCAACGGCAGGTAGGCGACCTGCGTTTGTGAGTTGGCGCGACTCACTTGCCATTCTTGCATCTGATTGGTGGACACAACATATCGAACGGACGCCGATTTCAGAGGCGGGGCCTTCATGTATACCAACACCAAGTTTAAATTTCATGGCATCGTCGGTACCATGTCCACATCAGGACACGACATCGTGGCGACGACCAGATTTTACGGGTGGGAGTTGAATGCCCTTGACTGGAAGGATATCATGAAGCCCCCAATTCATGGAAGTTTTCTGTGCGCTGGATGCAATCTCTTTTGAACGATGCCATTCCAGGACGCCTAAAAAAGTCTGAATTTACAATGTACGGTGCTGGATATGATGCGCTCAGTCGTCTTGCGTAGAAGCGCCGATAGCGCTAGTCGCACATTGCTCGTCTGATCTGCCGATGCGCCTCGACTTTGGCGGGGGACGGGGTGTCGAACGAGCGCTGCGGAGCGATTGGAATGGAGGGGGAAGGGACAGAACTCTCTGATCTGGCCCTCATGGCCGACCATAACCACCCCTGTCGCGTCTGCCGTGGTCGACATTGTACATCCCCCAGCACTTTGCGCCAACGTACACTTCTCGCGTGCTTGCTGACTCTTTGTTGTGTTCCAGGCTGGCGACGAGGCATGGATCTTGAAGGACGTTGATATCAATGATGCGCTCAACTTTGTGGGTTGCAAGAAAGTTGTCTATAAATAGTCCTCGAGTATATTGGTGGTCGCACTGGATACGCCATGCCGAACGCGGTGGAAACCCTGCGCGCGGACGCGACCCTACATGTTGATATTCATTTCCCTGCTACCCCAGCGGACGACCATGACGGCGGCGGCGACGTCCCTCTTCACGCCACCGTGCTAGATTTGGCTTCCGCGCCTCCCATCGTTCCCCCCTCTCATCCCGCCGAACCGCACACCTTCCATCCCCACCACCATCATACTACCGTGACAAAGAAGATGCCGCTTCCATCCCCCAAAACGCTAACGACACCAATGCACCAAAGTGCATCCCTTCAATCGCTATCAAAAGAGCTCCTGCCACCCCGCCACCGCAAAAAGTACCCATATCCAGCCTTTCGATCCACCTGCTTCACAGACAAAGCTTTACTTCCTGTCCCGTACAACACCAAACTGCGGTCGTCGGTGGGCACTATGGCCGAGTCCAGGCGAATATGGACAACTGCTGGCCCCCAGATCGGCTGCGAACGTCGCCTCGACGACTTGAAACACACTGGACTGTACGTCCCGAGTCTCGATCGGGTGTACGACACCACAGTGCAAACAATGAGCTACCGCGTCCACAGTACGTCTGCATTCAGGAATAGCGGCCCTCCGATTCCCTGACGCATTCCTTCAGTGTCAATGTGGGGGTCGTCGTTGTGGGACACGTCCCAACGTTTCCAGGAAGCACCCCGCACAGCGCCGACAGTTGGCCCCGGCTCATATAACCCCTCTCCGTCGTCGTGGGGAAAAGAGCCAAGCTACGCTCGCCCAGCCCCCATCATCCCGTTCAACCCCCATCGCGGCTCCCCTACGTCATCCAAGGCTCCACCGACGTCCTCAAACCATGCACCAACCGCCCCGTTGGCATCGCTGGACAGTTGGAAGCTGTGTTCCACAAAGACAGTGTCTGGCCGACCAGCTTTTGACAAAGCGCCACGAAAGACGTGGGTCGACTGGGAATCGACAAAGGCCGACCGAATGCGAGCAGTGTCAACACCGAATCTGGCGCTGCCCAACTTCTTGTCGGGGGCACGAATAGGGGAGCCCCGATCACCCCCCAAACGAAGCACAGGATTGCATTGAAACCCAACAACAGCACATTCCCCGCCACGGCAACTCATTTCGAGCCGCGCCGTACCAAAGGGCCACCGTCGCTACATCACTTCGTCCGCTACATAGCAATCAGCGTCTATTCATGACTGTACGGTGACCCTACGCACCCAAAATAAGGTCCATTACGTCCGTCAAGTCGGGATTATCCAAGTCGATCGTGGGGGTGAAAATGTAATCGGGCGCGGCAAACAACGCCTGGTCCGCCAATGTCAACGACTCGAGGATGCTGTCGTCGGGTAAATCGTCCAGCCACTTGTCTAGAGGCTTCGGAAGCGTCGTGCTCCAATCAAACTTGGAGACAACGACAGGTGACAACGAGCCCAAGGGTTCGGATGGGACGGGTAGTTTGGGCGGAGTGTGGGGCGCGGCTCTCTTTGGTTCTCCTGCCGCGGGCACGTCGAATTGTACGGCCAACACTTGTGAGCAGTCAACGAGGGGGGGATGCGGGGCTGGCGCAACAACGACTTTGGCAGGTTGGGGGGTTTTGCGCGCTTGGTGTGGACTCGCCACACTCTTATGGGTTTTCTTCAGCTGGGGCTACGTCAAGAAGTTGGAGTGAATTTGCAATGCCAAGTGCGGATAGAGGTCATCAAACGTGCCTTCATCGAAGAGTGCCAGTGGTTCTTGATCGCATTGTCCGTTCTAAACACGGCGCGCTTACGGGGACCAGAGACAGTGAACCCCAACCAGGTAACAGTGACCTACCGCCCCCGAAGGCACTCTGCAATCTTTGCCCACCGGTTCCCGTACGTGGCTTGCATGTGCAAGATAATTTCGTTCTCTTCGGCCGACCACGGGTTCTTATTGATAGCCGGGTTCAACTGGTTGTGCCACCTATCACGTCGCCGTCCACGATGTATGGCTCGCCGTCGACAACATACCGTTCGCGGCACTGCTTGCCATTGCGTCCTGGAAGGTACGACGCAATGACGGCCCACTTGCCGGCGCCATACTTGTGAATGAGGTTCACCATCCTCTCATCCTCGGCGGCGTTCCACGGCTGCTTTTCGTTCGACCCGTGGTTCTGGAGGTAATTCCAACGGTGTTGGCAGTCGCTGGGCGTGCGCGGCGGTCGAAACTCCATCGCGATCACCTTCCACTTCTTGCCTCCATGCTCAAACACAGCGTGGCGGAGAACGTCGTCCTGGAAGTAGAGGATAATGGTTCGGGGGAAAGGGGGGAGCCGATGAAACCCACCTCGTCCAAAGTCCACGTCGCTTCCATCGCCCGTAGCTTGTCTGAGCGTTTCATGGCAAACAGTGAAATGCAAGCGGACATCCCAACACTTGAAAGGCCCCCGACGAGGGAATCCAACTGGGACGCGTGCACATGGTCATGTCCCGCGCCGGGGGCATTTACGTGCCAGTTGTAGTTCTCGACGTCTTGTCCCAGGATCGAGGGAAGCCTTGGGCATGTCCAACCTTCCGACCGTTGATGGACCACATCCGTGCTGGCGTATCTTGTCTGCATGGCCATTCACTCGATGGATGCTGTCAAAAACTCAAAGGGCTACCCGTGCGCGGGATTTCGGCAATGCCGTGGAGGAGAGGGCTCCATGAATGCAATGCCCTGATCTTGCGCGATGGTGCAAGCGCTTCCCCTCTCGTACAAGTCAACTCGGTCGCTCATGACCGCCACACAAACGAACGGTCATGGAGCTTCAAGCCCCCCCCGCTCCCGGCCTCGTCCGATGCGGGAGAATGACATAGCCGAATATGTTTCAACTATGCCACGCAATCATGACATGTTCTCAGCCAGCGCCGCGTCCCAGGGGCCAAGGGCTGAAAGTTGGCTTCGTCTGTAAGGACCCACGCCGTGATATCCCTTAGCACCGTGCCCCACATCGATATTCATGCGACTCGAGCCGATTTCGCCGCGGGGCATTCTAGCTCGTCATGTCAATGCTCAGGTTGGACAATGAGTCTTCCCTGCGTCGTTGATTCACTCGATACGTAAAACCGTTCTGGTCGTCGCTAAAAATACCAAGTCCCTTTGAACTGAGCGGGCGGCAACGGATGGCGTCGCCGGTAGTCGGGCTGATCGCGCCGGGACACCGCCCTCCATCGCCGACTCGGCCGTCGTTCAGTAAACTTGCAACGAAACGCAAACTCAATGAAGTTTTGCCGTTCTGCGACGAGATGACGACGACATCGTTTTACGAACCGCCCTTGCTGGACGGGGCGGCGTCGGTCGTGGCTCGGAAAGAGTCGCCGGAGCGGCGACGGAGCAGCTTTGTCGCATCCAAGGACAAACACAGCGATCGGAAAGTCATCGATCCCCATTCCAAAGTCGTCCCAAACTACCTCGGCGGAACGTCCATGCAGACCCGCGCGTACGACGCCGCGATGCGGTTGATCACGTGCCGGTTCTCCGACTCCCAACTCGAGGACATCTTCCGAAAACACTACCGCCACTACGTGATGGGCAAAGTGCGCATGGGCGGGTGGATCTCGATCATGTTGCATGTCGTGATGGGCGCGATCGAGTACATGTGCGGGTACAGCGTCCCCCGCGAAGGCGTGCTGGTCTTGGCCCGCGCCACCATCGTGCTCGTGACCCTCGCGTTCCTCCGCATCACTAGGAGGCCAAGCTTTCAGTCCCACTTCGAAGCGTGCATGCTGTCGTACTATACACTCCTTGGCTCGCTTGTCGTGGGGACGAGCATGCTGTTTGATTCGCGGTTCGACGGTGTGTTTGCCGGCGACGACATGTACTTTTTTTTCGCCGGCCGGTGGTCCCAGGCCATTTCGCTCATCTACACTTCGATTCTGTTCAACGCGAGCGGGATGACGTTCATCATGTCGACGACATGCGCGTGGCTCCATATTGTCCTCATGATTGCCGTCCCGTTTGGGGCGTACCCGTCCCACCGGCAGCTGCGCGATCCGCAGGTTTGGCCTCCCCCTCGATCCACTCCCTCGATGCTTGTGTTGATGGCATTCCTCGATGACCATAGCTCGCGTACGGCCCGATCTTGACGTGTTTCTGCATGCTGTCTGCGTACAACAGCGAGAGGCACATCCGCAAGGAGTTTGTGCTAAGGTGCAACGTGACCGAGGACCGCAAACGACGCGACGATCTGCTTGAAACGATGCTGCCCGCCCACATCAAAGAGAGTCTCAAGGAGAATCGGACCGACGAGCTGGCCGAGCAATTTGACGAGGTGGGCCCATCACTCGATGCCACCCACTCAGTCGACGCGCGTAGGTGTCGATCCTGTTTTGCTACGTCAGCGACTTTGGCCGACTGTCGAAAACCACACCTGCGATCGAACTTGTGCAGCTCATGAACCGCATCTTCTTTTGCTTTGACAAGGCCACCGACTCGCGCGGCGTGTACAAAATCGAAGCAATTGCAGAGACATACATGTGTGCCGCGGGGGTGCCGGTGAAGGACCCGCACCACCACGAAAAAATCGCCGACATGGCGCTCACGATGATGTACATCCAGGAGCAGGAAAAGTGGACGTGCCATGGGGAGCTCATTCGGCTCAAGATTGGCATCCACAGCGGCCCTGTCGTTGCCGGCGTCATCGGTTCGTCGCGCCGTCCATCTAGAGCCTCCATGAACATTCAAACGGCTAGGGTCGAAGGCGTACAGCTATCACTTGTTTGGGGACACAGTGAACACGTCGTCGCGAGTGTGCTCGTCGTCAAAGCCAGGGAAAATCCAGATCAGCGAACGAACGTTTGCGTTGCTGTCGCGGTCGGCGTGCTACGACATCGTGCCTCGTGGCAAGATTGCGCTCAAGGGCAAAGGCGAGCTCATGTTGTACTGGCTCGAGCGCAAGATCCTCCGCCCGATTGTGCAGGACCCGCTCGGGATGACGACGCGGTTCGACCTGGCCGAAGACAAGGCGGTTGCGTCGGCCCCAAAAGCCAAGCCAGGGTCGCCCACGTCGACAGAGTCGGCCAAAACTGACGTCGAATCGCTCGAAATGAACAAACGTACACTCGCGTTCCAGTCCAAAGCCGCCATGAGCAAGCGCCGGCGGTCTGCGCTCGAACGGCGCATGGAGATTGCGTTCATCGTGGACTACAACATGGCAAACTTGACGCAATTCCGATGGGCGCTGGGGGCGGGCATTGGCATCCTCAGTGTGGCGGCGATGCTGGTACGAGCACCAACTTGGCGATGACAGACCATGACGATGTGTAGAACGGTGGAGTGCTTGGCATGTCGCTGCAGGTGGAAGGTACCACGCAAGGCAGCGCAGCGATGACGCTGAATCTGTCGGGAGTTGTGTTGCTCGCCGGCCTCTTTGCCTATAGCTACCGTCGGAGGTTTTTGTCGCGGATGCAGACCGCGTCCGGGATCGTCGTCGGCCTTGTCTTTGCTGGGCTCAACTTTCACCTCGTCCTCAGCCCCAAGAGCAACTTTCTCAACCTGAACCTCATCTACATCACGATCGTGAGTCTCCTCATGCGCTTCCGCTTCGTCACGTCGGCAGCAATCAATTGCACCATGTACGCATTGGCAATGTAAATCGAGGCTTTGTCTCTCTCTCACACACGCTTGTAGCCTCGTGCTGTACTTGATCCTGCTCTTGTCGTGCCACCACGACCTCCGTAACGTGATTGGATTCCTCTGCATCACGATCTTTTGCACGACCATCGGCCAGTACTCGTGCTACCGCCGCGAAGTCGGCCTCCGCACCGACTTTTTGCTCAAGCATATGCTGAACCTGGAGAAGAAGAAGTGCGAGGTGCGTACTCGGCTTCCTTCGTTCTCCATGACGCATCTACCTTCATCGTTCCCCACTGCGTATGCTCAATCTTGTTGTGTCTGCCATGCAGGAGCTGTTGGCCAACATGCTCCCGTCGCCCGAGTATGCCGAGGCCCTCTTGCTCAATGGAACGATCGTCGATGAGCTGAATGACGTAACTCTTCTTTACTCCGACATGGTCGGGTTCACTGCCCTCAGCGCGACCCTCAAGCCCGTCGAGTCATGTCTCTTCCTCAACAAAGTCTACTCGGCCTTCGACCGGCACTTGGATGCCTTTGGCGTGTATAAAATGGACACCGTCGGCGACGCCTTCATCGTCATTGGAGGTGCGTTGGCGCTGCCCGTTCCATTTCTGAGTCTTGAAATCGTGCGTCCTGTGTTTTGAATCCACTGCGCGGTTGACGGCCACCTTCCGTGCCATGCGTTTCCATGGACTTCCATGGCGATTTCTTGTTGTGTTGACAAGTAGCGCCTGCTTGTGTCGTCGTTGCTGCGTATCGGTTGAAGTTGCTGATGGCCACGATGCTAACGCCCTGTCCACTCGGAACGGTAGGACTGCCCAACTACAAGAGCGAAAAGAATCATGCGGTCGCCATCACGGCGTTCGCTGTGGAAATGCTACGTGAGATGGACGAGTTTCGGCGAAGCGAGAACGTCAACTTGCAAATGCGGATTGGAATCCACACGGGCAAGGTCGTCGGCGGTGTTGTCGGCATCAAGAAACCGCGGTACTTGATTTGGGGCAGTCAAACGGTCGTGGCCAACAGCATGGAGTCGAAGAGCATTCCTGGGCGCATCCAGATCTCGGAAGCGACGTTCACCATGTTGCAGGAAGCATCGTCGCAGTACCAGTTCGAGTCCCGAGGCGACATCTGCATTGGCGACACGGAATCGATTTCTACCTACTTTGTCAAGGTACATAGCGATTCCCACGAGCTGGCTTGACATGGCGCGCCAACGCAGACGGACCAAGCCCCTAAAAAGGAAACAATCGTCGCCAAGTTCTTCCCGACTATACTCCACAAGTCAGACATGCCAGTCAAAAGCAAGCAATCCAAGGCCACCCTCGACCTTGAAAACCTCCTTCTCGACGCGCGGCGACGAAACCCCTTCTTCCAGAACGTCGAGCTCATGGGCGAAGGATCCCGCATCCTCCATAAGCTTGCGGGTTCGCGGAGCTCCGTCACACGGACGGTGGCAAATCTCAGCACCGCGACAGCCCAGACCTAACTTATTTAAATTATTGGGTATCCGGATCGCATTCCGGATACATGGTTGAAACCGCCGGCGATGAGTTTTCAATTGTTCGATGACGGACAGCGGCGATGTCGCGGCGGTGCTGTCGTTGAGGACACGCCTGGCCGCCATCGACCTGTTGGAAAAGGACGGTCTTGAGCAGGTACCGTCATGCGTGGAAGACTATATGTACGTACGTTGTGGTGACACTGTGCGCGCACTGAACGTTTTAGTGCAGTTCGACGAATGCACTTGTCGACAATGGCGACGGCTTGTCTCGCCGCAAAGGAAGCGACAACGGGTAAACACACGCAACAAAGAAGTATACATGACTGATACATATCGCCTTTGCAGCAAGGACTCCCGCGAAAGTGTGCGGTCTGCGGAAGTCCTGGATTTTCCCATGCCAAGCCTTGGCCGGGAGGCCGCAGCATTCAAGTCTTTGATGGAGCAGCATCACACGAAAATGGTCGAAGCAACACTCGTACGGATCGACGCAACTTCAAGGGTTTTGTTCTCTCACGATGGTTAAAGGGTCTCTTCGATGATCTGCATGCGAGGCTGAAAGCATCCCACGACGTTCAGTTGAGCTCAAGGGAATCTGCCATCTCAAAACGAGAAGCGCAAGCTCAAGTACGCAACGTCGATCCTCGCTCCTATTCAACTAAATTTGCCTCGAGGCCATGGCGACTATGCTGCGAGAATCGCTGGACGACAAAATAGCGCGTGGCAAGGTGCAAAAGCACCTGCTGACGACGCTGGCAACTCATCATGCTGCCAAATCTGCCTTGCATGTAAGAATGTTTTCGAGTGACTTGACAATACTTCAACGTATCAATGCACACCAGGAGCGGCTCTACGGAGGACCGCAGAGTCTTCTGCGCATCATGCACGCCTGGCACGTGTACAGCCGAATCCGTGCGTTCAAGGCCCGGCGCGTGCGACAGGCTCAAGTCATTTACAGACAGGTATGGTGCATGGCGACAAGAGAAACGGTCCACACATTCACGATGTTGTAATGGGAGCTAGCGCTTGCCCCGGAAGCCATTCTTGAGATGGCGTCGCTTGGTGCAGACTGCGAAACATGATCGACTGGTTGACCAGCATCGCATGCACCATGATACCGCCATGCATGACCTCCAACTTCAGCACGCCAACGACATCCAGCAGGTGATAGATGGCGGAATGATCCTGACCTCCTTTGCACGTGTTGTTGCAGGTCGTATGGACTGTTTTGACGATCGGGTGGCTGTAGCTGCGTGATGAACTGAAACGTGCACGTGCAGAGATCGAAGTGTTCCAGCTCGAGCAAGTTCGCCTGGTATGGTCGAGGTCTTTCGTGACGGAGATGGGCTGAGAGTCGACGGTCCATGGCGCAGGAGGAAGACGTCCGCCGAGTGTTTCTTCGAGGAGTGTCTGCGATGAACCTGGAAGCCCTTAGTTTGTTCCGACACAATCCAGTGCACGTGCCAGGGCGCGCGGTGCAGCCCGGCCACGACTTCGTCGACCTAGAACTCGAGCAGCCACGAGCAATGGCGCCGCAACCAATGCACAGGGGCAATCAATAGCCAATGGATTTCATCCGTGCTTTGCGGTTCATCCAGAGGGCGCATAATCAAGAATCCCACCCGTCGTACTCGGACTAGACAAGTTCGATGGTGGATGCGGTTCTCTGTCGTACGCAACGTTGGCTCCATTGGAAGTCTTGCCGATGGGGTGGTAGGACTCTGTCGATGCGAAGGCTGCCTCTGAACAGCGATGGAGATCATGTGCGACGGGTTCGCTGTGATCACACCAAGATCGCTCCGTTACATGCACTGGCGTTTGTCATTCGTCTGAGGGCACATCGAGTCCGAGCGTTTGCAGTACACATCCATGCATGAGTTCTCCTTGCTATCTCGCTTGAGAAGAGTGGTTGCATACTCGGACCTTCGAAATCTCCTCGGGGATTTGACAAGGCGATGCACCCTCGGGATATTGTTCGTGGCTCCTTCACGATGTGCGCGGCCAGAACCAGGTACACGGTTGTGGCATCAATCTCACGACATCTACTTGCTCACGCAGGGATACGTCTAGCTGCTCCATGTGTGTTGGTGATTATGGTTGCGCTGACAGCGTCCGTCCGCATGAAGCGAGAGGACCGACGAGAAAACGACAGTCGGTTACGTATCTTGCTCGCAAAAACAAGATTCCCCCACGCAACCAGTCAACTCAACGTTCACCACTGGCGTGCGATGCTCCACCACCATGACATTCGAAGCATGGGAGACCGCCTATCGACGGCACGGGACTTGTGCATCGCGTCGAACTACGACAAGGGCATTGGCTTGTACCAGGACGTTCTAACCCAACTCAAGCCAGCGATTAAAAGGGTGTCGCAGGCCAGAGAACGCCAAGATTGGTTGCAGGTACACCAGAGACTACTCGAGTCTCCACACAAATCTCTATCGATGTAGGTGCAGAGTGACTTGGAAAGCGAGCTGGGAGCCATGATGGACTACGCCGAAGCCTTGCACAGCCTCAAACTCAACGCGCCAGGGCAAAACGGTCGCAGGCCACGGTCGAGCACGCCATCGGATCGTCCCAAGTCTGGCGATCGATGGCAAATTGTCGACGGCAAGCGCGAACATGTAAGACATCCTCACAATGCCTTGACACCACAAGCACTGACGGGGACGCGACAGGACCAGCCCGATCGCGAAGTGTGGGCGCCACCTTCACCTGACTCTGGGCGAGGTGGCCGACGAGGTGTCGCGCCAAATTGGGCCGACAAGCAAAAGAAGTACGTCCTGGCGGAAGGTCGTACGTGAACCTATTGCGTAGCAACAACAACGGCCGCGTGAAAGCGACGCCGCCTGCTCGTCTGGCAAACCGCGCGGAGAAAGGTTCTCGTCATGATGAGGATGTTTCACCAAGCGGCTTGTGCATCCAGGTAACTACGTGGACAACCGCAAGCAACCGGCGGCAGTGAATGGCCGCGGTGGCCCCACGCCGCGAAAAGCCCCCACTGGGCAGCAAGTGACTCCCTCCAAAGACAAAGTCAAGTACGCATCGCACCAACATATTCGACCCACTCACGTCAACGTAGGAAAACACCGGACGGCGAAAAGCCCAAGTACTCGGAGCTTGCCCGCGAGAACGGGTGGTGCGACGTCGAACTCATCGAAGGCATCGAGCGAGATATCGTCGACACGGGGCCCAAGATCACGTTCGACGACATCGCGGGGCTCGAACACACGAAGGAGCTTCTTCAAGAAGCCGTCATGTTGCCTCAAATCGCGCCGCACCTCTTCAAAGTACATCACGTCACCAGGAGTTTGACCTTCCTCATGGAGTACCTAGGACGGCCGCCTCAAACCATGCAACGGCGTTCTGATGTTTGGTCCCCCCGGCACGGGCAAGACGCTGCTGGCGAAAGCAGTGGCGAACGTGTGCAACTCGACCTTCTTCAACGTGTCGGCGTCGACGCTCGCGTCCAAGTACCGTGGCGAGTCCGAGAAGATGGTTCGCATCTTGTTTGAAATGGCGCGGTACTACTCGCCGGCAATCATCTTCATGGACGAAATCGACGCGATTGCGGGCGCCCGCGGCGGCGCCGAAGAGCACGAGTCGTCCCGACGGTATGCCCGTGACCACACACAACCATGACTCGACGTGATGGTTTCCTTGGCGACGTCGCAGGGTCAAGACAGAGTTACTTGTGCAGATCAACGGCGTCGGGTCGGGTGAAAAGTCCGACGTTGAAAACAACCGCGTGATGGTGCTGGCTGCGACCAATTTGCCGTGGCAGATCGACGAAGCGATGCGGCGCCGCCTCACAAAGCGAGTGTGTACGGTCCTATCTCCGTTCCCGATCCGTCGATTTCAATTCATGGCACGGGCATCGCTAGACATTCCACTGCCAGACATCCATGGTCGTCGTGCGCTGTTCAACTTGAATCTCAAACGAGTGGATGTGGCGCCTGACGTCGACTACGACCGCCTTGCGACGCAAACCGAGGTATTGCGTCGCCATCGCTCGTATGTCATGATGTCGTGGCGCAGGGCTACAGTGGCGACGACATTTGTGGTGTCTGCGAGACAGGTAGGCAGCTTGCGCTAGAGAGACCAGACCGCCGCACAAATGGCGCCGTTACGACGATGTTGAGTGTGGGTGGTTGAATTGCGTAGCCAAGATGTTTCCAGTCAAGAGGTTGTACACGCCCGAGTTTATGAAAGAGGTTTGCCATGGCCACCTTCTTGGTGGATACAACGAAGAGAAGGCTTAGTGGTCGTGTGCAGCTGGCGCTGAAGAAGACGCAAGGGTTTGGCGAAGATGAGATCAAAGCCATGGAGAAGAATGGGCTCGTGGTCACGATGGTACACCCTGTTGTGGAAAGTCGTCGGCGTGACGACGTGGTGTAGAACGATATTGTCATGGCCCTCGAGAACGTGTCCAAGTCGGTGGGTCAAGACCAGCTCGTGCGGTTCCAGAAGTGGGAGGAAGAGTTTGGATCCAGGTAGTAGAAGAGTTTGGATCCAGGTAGTAGGATGGTGTCGTTATCACGTTAGCCTTCGCTGGACGGGTTCGTGCACCACGAGGCCAGGGTGCGATGAAAGTCCATCGCGCTATCGAAGTACTGCAACTTTGTACAACTTGAAATGTGCAGCAGCTCTTCGTCGAGGGCGGACACAATCAGCACAAGATCGTCGTAGGTCGTCGCATGCGACCGCAACGCATACTCGATTCGCCGTCGATTGCTTTCGCGCTCTTGACCCGTACACTCGTCACGCCAATTCATGTGGCTCGCACGCATCTCGACTGCGACTCGTTTGCGGTAGTTTGGATCTATGCGTTGATCCAGGATGTGAGTGACCCGCAGGAGAGATTCGACGAGCGTGCACCGTGCATGGAAACGTGCTGCGATGCGATCAAAACTTTCCGCCGCCTTGCGTTGTAGACGGACGTAGGGGAAGTCGGATCAACTTGCTGATAACCATGGTGAGGCGGCGGCATGTGCTCTGTGGGAGTTGAATGATATCCAGACGGCGTTGGTTGACCAGTGGACGTACGGTAGCGCGGTAGCAACATGGGTGGAGAGTGACTGGGCAGGTGTGAGTCTGGAGCTCTACTGCCTGCGCCACTGGTATCTCGTCCATCACCCTTCACATGAGCCTGATCCACCTTGGCCGTATCTTGTTTCATCATGTCTGTGTAAATCTTTCTCTTAGTCACATTTCATGAAACGAACAACATTTCGAACATCGACTGCGTTTTAAACATAGTCGTCGTCATGTCGGGCATCAGGTAAAACATGTCGTAGTGCTTTGTTTCAGCCAGAATCACTATTGAGCGTTTGGGCCCGTCGTCATGTGCTCTCCTCAAGCGTGGCCTCCCACAGCGGGGTCGCGTCCACTTGGTCCATTGATGAGCTGAAGCTGAGGGAGTTCGAAGGCAAGTGATGGAAGAGTCGTGTTTGAAATGCTGGGGTCGTTTTGAATATTTTAAATATGTTTCGAACCATTTGCAAAGTTTTTAAAACGCTGGGAATTCGAAACCCGCTAACTGGGCAGTGTGTCAGAAAAGTCCACGCGCTTCACAAGTGGCGGGAGAAGAAGACCCGCAACCAGCATGAGCGTCCACGTCGGTCCCTACGTAAACGATGACGCAGAATTCCCCGAGCTCATGGCGGAGCTTCGGCTGTGGCGCAAGGAAGTTCGATGGTGTGTCCAGCGACTCTTGGAGGAAGGAACTCGGTACACGATCGAATTGACAGCTCCATCGTTGGGAGCAGCATTGTACCGTGAGGCCTTCGGACTATACTCCGTGGAAGTGACAAGTAAGGCAGTACATGGTCGCAGTTGGCATCAAATGGAGAAAGGTGACTTTCTTGTGGGCATGAACAACATGAATCTTGTCGTGGACGACTTGTCCCTGGCGGATGTGACATCGCGTGTGCAGACGCTGCCCCGTCCGTCGTATCTCCAGTTCGTCCGACTGCACAAAGGGGCCACCAACGAAGTACAGCATCGTCTTCGTCAAATCCAAAAACAGGCGGACATCTTGGAAAAGCAGCGGCATGTGTTGCACAACCGCGCGTTGGAATTCCACGTGTCCGTGCGCGAAGACAAGGTAATCAAGGCACTCTTGGAGCGACAGAGCGAAATCTTGGCCTTTGTGACGAGGAAAGTGGTGTGGATGAAGGGAGGTGTTAATCTGTCGCGGGAGCACCGACTCATGGACAAGATGAAGATGTGGATGACTCTTCAACTCGAAAAGAAGTTACCCGTTGTGCCAAAACCCGCTTCAATTTCAGTAGTCAGTGAACCGAGGTCGTCGGCCCCAGCCATCGTCCCGCTCTCCCCCAGGTCGTCCGGCATGGCCAAGGTCATTGCCCCGTCCAAATGGCCGCAACAACACGTCCATTTTCCGGTTCGGAACCTCTGGTGGATCGACGACTTTCCAACTGTCGACTTGGTCTGGTTCGGGAAGGAGAAAGAGAAGAATTTCAATTCGCTGCTGAAGTGGTACGAAGACGCGCTCCAGAACGACGTGTCGCTCGCCACCGCCAAGGTCCTCTCAGAACAGATTGTGAAATCCCTTGTGCGCCACTGGATAGACGTGCGCAACTCGAACACTTCGGTTGATCCCCAAAAGCTGCGGCGCGACTTCCTCGACCACGCGCGCCAGCTCAAGGCGAACCTTCAGGCGAACCCTAACTTGCGCGCCGACATTGTGCAAGAAGTGATCACCCCTGAGGCCCTCATGACCATGTCGAAAGACGACATGGCTTCACCCGAACTCTTTCAGCAACGTCAAGAACTACAGCAATCTGCGATGCGCCAGACGATCCTTCAGCCCATGGAAGGCAATGTGCTGATCAAGACGAGGGACGGCTTTAGGGAAGTGCCTGTACCCGTTACCGTGGCTGGCAGCACCATCGATATTCCTGAAACTCTGTCACAATACGGCAATCTCCAACCAGACGTGCTCTCACAGCCGACAAATGTCGATTCGAAGGGTCCTGCGGTTGCGACACCCACAGGTCCTTCCACGACGAAGGAAATGGCCCGCCACGAGCCCACGCCGCAGGTCCCGCCCAAGCCATTCCCACCCACATCTTTTGTGCCAGGACACCCACAGAATGTAGATGCAATGCGAATGAACCACGATAAGGACCGCATGCACCAGGCCAACTCACACATCAAGCCCTTGCCCAAGCGAGCTAGTCCGCTTCCAATCCCAGTACCTGTGTCTCGCCCTGCTGCAAGCACAGCACCCCCCATCAAACGCCACCGGTCAATCGACGCCACGTCGATCAAGAAGACCGGATCCCCGCTGAAACGCACGCGCAGCACGGACGACCAGACTATGAGGGCATCTCAACCCCAGGGGCCGCGACCGGCCCCGACAACGTGGAAGGTCAACGCCCCCGTCGTGCCGTCGCCCGCGGCGTTGGCGATGGACATGTCGTCATTGCCCAACTTAACCCCGTCAATTGAAGTCCAACAGACGAGGGGATTTATTCGTGAAATCTTCACGAATCAAAAGAGCGTGATCGCCAACGTAACCAAACTCATCCAAGTCGGCAACATTCTTGGCCAGCAATCGGTGGCCCCGGAAATTATTGTGCGTTTACCACCAGTCTGTTGCTCGAGTGGCTGAGCAAATCGAGCTCATGAATTGTACATTTAACCGAGGTGCTGTGTTGTATAGGCGAAAACGGAGACGATATCGATCCCAGGGATGGGATCTGTCGTTCGCGTACACATTGGCAAGTTCACTGTCCAGTCGACACCTGAAAAAGGCGCGTCCATGGGCCAAGTCAAGCAGAACGGCGTCAAGGCATTCGTCGAGGCAATCGAGAACTTGCGGAAGGTGTTTGTTCAGGTCGTGGAGAAATATTGGAGCAATCGGCAGCGCGGAATGGACAAAGTCCCCGCCGCCCAGGAATTGGTGCAGTCCTTTCCTGATGTGGTATGCAATTCCATTGCCGTGAGGTCATCGAGCGTCATGCGTCAAATTGTTCGTAGATCGTGCAAGACACACAAGCCCGACCGAAGGAATTCATTTGCACATGGCACATAAACAATGTCTTGGTGTGCAGACAGGCACATGCCGAAGAGTACGAGGCCAAAGTGTGTGGCTGGAAAAGCTTTAGCGACTTTTTGGAGTCCATGATATCCAAGGTTGTTAAGGGTAGCCATCCGTCAGCAAAGAAGTCACGGACCGACGAAGGGCCCACGACAGCATCCACCATCTCGCGAGGTTCGTTGAAGCCGACCAGTCGCGCACCAACCGGGGTGGTGTCCAAGTCTAGTCGTCCCAGTGGAGAGTGCTCACCGGCGTCGCCTCATTCCCCCGTCGATTGCTACGAAGCTGAGATCATGCCAAGCAAGTACTCACGGCAGCACTAGCTGTATAGAAGGGACAATCAACACCCTGGAACAAACACAACTCGTGTCTTCATCCCGCGGCGCCATGCCCGCGGCCATCGCAATTTGAATTTCAGTTATCGTCGTTATCGACGTTTGATTGGCTAAAATTTTAGCCAATAAAAACGAAGTTCGGAATGGCGCATGATTGGTCCAGGGTCCATATTCCTGAAGGGAACTGACGAACATGAGCAGTGCAGACGCGACGATCATCTGCGCCACGGAGGGATGCGGCAAGCCCGGCAAGATGGTGTGTCCTACGTGCAAGAAGATTGGTGTCCCGCCTGGCATTAGCAGCTTCTGCACGCAGGATTGCTTCAAACAGTACTGGCCCCATCACAAAGGCCTGCACAAAATGTTCACCGTTGACCCTTCGACGAAAGCAGACAAGTTCTTTGGGTATAAATTCTCGGGCTCGCTGCGACCAGGTGTTGTGAGCCCCATGAGGACGGTGCCCGATCACATCGCGCGCCCGGACTACTGGTCTAGCGGCCAACCCGTCTCCGAGCAACAAGCGGACAGAAGCGGCAAGATCCCAGTGTACACGGCGCAGGAAATCGAAGGCATCCGATTGGCTTGTCGCCTCGGCCGTGAAGTGCTGGACATCGCTGGCCGCGCCATCCGCGTGGGCATGACGACCGACGAGATCGACGTGATCGTCCACGAGGCATGCATCGAGAGGGGATGCTACCCGTCACCGCTCAACTACTACAACTTCCCCAAGTCCGTGTGCACGTCTGTGAATGAAGTCATTTGTCATGGTATCCCCGACTCGCGCCCGCTGGAAGACGGGGATATCTTGAACATTGACATTACCGTGTACAAGGACGGGTTCCACGGCGATCTAAACGACACCTTCCTGGTGGGGAAGGTCGATGCCGATGGCGTCCGCCTGGTTAAGACTGCATTCGATTGCCTGGCCACTGCCATAGCGATGGTCAAGCCTGGCACGATGTACCGCGACCTCGGCCGTGAGATTACTGCCGTCGCGGAAGAGCAAGGGTTCTCTGTCGTCAAAACGTACTGCGGACACGGCATCGGGTCCCTCTTCCACACAACGCCGAACGTCCCGCATTACGCCAAGAACAAAGCCGTCGGCATCATGAAGCCAGGCCACATCTTCACCATTGAACCGATGATCAACATAGGGTCGTGGCGAGATGGACGATGGCCGGACGACTGGACCGCCGTCACGGTGGACGGGACCCGGTCCGCGCAGTTTGAACACACCATCTTGGTCACGGAAACGGGATACGAAATCCTCACGGCCCGCGAGAACGAACCCGTCATGACCTGGGACTTGGCCAAAGTTCAGCGAGGACTGTAGACGACGCGCGGTCGGACGACAACGATCTAGGAGGACAGGTTAACACAAGCAAGTGAAGTGCGTATGCGAACCGATTGTTATCACAAAGCTGCCCACGAACAGCGTTCTGGCCACTGGCGACACAGACACACCAATTCGCTGGCCTCGTCACTGCAGGAGTGGTTCGCCACTTGACACCTATGCGTGCGTGCACACGTTGATATGGTCGGTGCTCGTGTTCCGCACAGCCATATAGCCATGAAACCTAGGTCAATGTGTCCTGCATAGCCGAGTCATGTTCAAACCCGTCCACGTCGATCCGCATCGTTCCTGCGTCGCCTTTGGAGCTTCATGCGGTTATTGCCGGCGGGAAGAATTCGGACCAATCATAGACTACATGTGGTCTTTTTGAGCCAATGGCATCACGCGATTCATTGGCTTTGAATTTTAAACAAGTCTGGCGACGGCTGCGGCAGATCCGTCGCCGCCATGGGAATCTCCAACTTGCTGCCGCAACTAAAATCCATTGCAGACACGACCACCCTACATCAGTTCAAGGGCAAAACGGTGGCTGTTGATGGCTACGTGTGGTACGGAACTCGTTTGTTGTGTCGCTGCTGGTGAAGCTCATGCTGCGTTGCCAGGTTGCACCGAGGAGCCTACAGCTGTAGTCAAGAATTGTGCCTTGGACAAGACACCGACAGGTGCAAGCACAAATGTAGTGCGGCCTCCGCGGGGTTGTGATCGACAGGCGTAGGTACATCGGGTACTTCATGGAACGCGTGGACTTATTGGTCAAGTGTGGCATCATCCCATACATTGTGTTTGACGGGGGGTACTTGCCCATGAAAAAGCTCAAAGAAGACGAGCGGCGCACGTACGTGTCACCGTCGATTCGCTTCTCATGCACGCGTGACTGACACGCGTGGTCACAGCTCGCGTGAAAAACATCGCGACGCCGGGCTCCATTTCCTCAAATCCAAGAAATTTGACATGGCTCGGCAGTCGTTTGTAAAGGCTGTGGATGTATCTCCGTATATGGCCCACCGCGTGATTCAAGTACAGCTCCACCTTCGTCCTACGTTCGTCCCTTGTTCACGACGTCGTCGTTCCAGCGTCTCAAGCACAAAGGCATCCAGTACGTAGTCGCCCCATATGAGGCCGACGCCCAAATGGCCTACTTGGTGCGCATGGGCATCGTGGACGCCGTCATTTCGGAAGACTCGGACTGTTTGCCATTTGGCTGCAAGACTGTACGAATCCTTCGTTTAAATGAGATCCGAATTCAACACGGCGCATCAGGTTCTCTTCAAACTCGACGCGGCCGGCAACGTCGACGTGATTGAGACCGCCAACTTGGCCAAGAACTCGGGCCTGTCGTTCGTTGGTTTCACCGACGACATGGTACGCCTTCGAGCCACACGCTGTTCCATTCAATGCCTTTTCTAGTTTTTGGACATGTGCATTTTGTCTGGCTGCGACTACGTCGCGTCGATTCCAGGCCTCGGGATCAAAAAGTCCCATGGTCTCGTGCTTCGCTACGGAGGCTACCAAAAGGTCGTCATGATATTTCATCGGCGGCGTCGTGCTGTGGAGTGGTGGCGCTGACGGACGTGTGTAGGTCATTCGGGCCCTTCGACTTGAGGGAAAGCTCTCCATCACGGCAACGTACGAGACGGATGTGGCCCAGGCGCGCCTCACGTTTCGCCATCAACGCGTGTACGACCCCGTGACTCAAGTAAGCGCCCCTTCCTCGGTGCCTCGACTCGATGTTACGTGGACTCGATAGACGTTGACGCATGTGACACCTCTCCCACATTCGTTGGACACCCATGACACGGACTTTCTCGGCCCTGTCATCACGAACGAATTAGCGCGGGGCATTGCGGAAGGCGACGTCGACCCCATCTCGACCGAGCCGTTCCCGACTGTAACGGAGACAACCACACAGCTGCTGCCTGGCCCAAACGCACGTCGACCTGCTCCCATCGCGGCCACACCCATCCACGATCTGGCACCGCCAACTGCGTCGAACCCGTCCTATCAAACGCCACCGCAGTCTCAAGAGCCCACCGACAAAGAAAACGCATTTACGAGACTCCTCCAGGCGGGGTCGCTGATGCCTCGTTCCACCCTGAGCAAGCGAAAGCTTCCTGCGACGTTGGCGACAGTCCCTAAACGCCGACCTGCCTTGCACCCGATCGAGAATACCGTGGCTGTACGTGCAGACGTCTGTTTTGCATGTGTGCTGTACTCCCTCGTCCTGGCAATCCACGCGTTTGCCTACGTCCAAGCACATGGATAAGCAGTTGAACGTTGCCTCATGTGCACATTGTTGCCGTTTGTGTAGTCCAAAGAATCGTTCTTCCAGCCGCGCAGTCGCTACTTTGGAGGATCTCTCTCGATCAAGGCAGACGTATCTGTGCAAAAGGTCCGCCAGGTGACGGGAGCGCCATCCAGACCGGCGCCGCCAAATACACGCAGTTTACCGTGCGAACGTCGTGAAGCAGTCAAGTCGGCACCGTCGACGACTTCCATCACAACCAGTGCGCCGCCCACGCCAGGCTTCAGTCGGTTTCGATTTCAAGGATGACGATGGCTCAACGTTTTGTTTATTGTACGCTGGTTCTTAGTCGTCTTCGATCGGGAGCTTGCACGTCGGGCACGAGTTGTTGTTGCGAATCCATCCCTGCGCGCAGTCTAGCCGCCATCGTAAGCGGTGAAATGGATGGTTGGGTGCCCAGTGGAGAAATCGACGGACGGCAGACGCACCGTAGTGAAAGATGTGCGCACACGGCAGCGACAGAACGTGGTCGTTCGTGGCAAAGTCGTCTCGACACACGATGCACCTACGCGGTTGCATGTTGTCACGAGGGAAAAAGTGGGTGGTGCATGTACATGCTGCTGCCTCCAGCAGGTGCCCGCTGCAGACGATGACTCGGCAGTCGCGACATGACTTCGGCAGCGCGCTGTCTCCATCGATCCTTCTTCACGTCGCCCATGCGCTCGCCAAGCTGCACCAATTCCTACCCCACACCACACATCCTGTGACTGTCAGGACCGTGGTTTGGCGTTTGTACGTCATGGGACATTGCATCCGGGTTCAAAAACTCGCCCTGCCGATTCACCTTTAGCACGAGGACAATTTCGAAACTACGTCTGCACCTACATGATGGTCGTATGGATGACGTTCGCCATGCGAGGCATGGGCGGGATGCTGATGTCCCAACGCTGCACGAAACATGTCGAGTGTGTTCGCGCTGTCGATACTCTACAGGTCACGCACTCCATTGCGACTGCGGACGGTAGGACAGACGCACCTGACGGCTCAAATGCCCCAATTGAGCAGCGTGCAGTCGCTGTGCCTCTTCAGTTACCCGTGCTTGATGTATTCGCGCCTCCTCGACTTCTTCTGCCTGCAGGGCCATTGCCAATGCAAGTGAAGCTTCTTCATTCGGATCTGATCCTAAGTTTATGGATCTCGTGGGCGTCAAAGTTGCCGAACGCCTCGTCGACTGACTTCCACGGCTCGGACTTGATTCAGACTGTCCCACGACCCACCGCGTTGTGCCGTCTGTCGCGATACATCGACGTAGTGTCCGAGTGCCCGCGAGGGTAGATGGAGTCCTGGCGTTCGATGACTGTGCAACCACAGTCTCCATTGCCACAGAGGTTGGATGGAACATGCGTTGATGGTTGTCTCGTGAATCAAGTCGATCAACGAGTTGGCTTGAGGTTCTTCGAACAGAAGCAGTTAGTCTTTCAACGGGAGAATCCTCCGAATATTGTGGAGCTGAGAATCGATTGCTTCGTCGTGGCGGCGGAGGTGGCCAAACCTGATATCTTGATGGGACGAGCAGAGAGTCATGGGTGTACGTACAGTCGACGACGACGTGGGTGTACTGAAACTGAACTGTGGTTCGCTTGAGATTGATTGAGGTTGCTGTCGTTGCCTTGGCGCAGTGAGATCAATCGCATGTGACTGTGCCATGACATCACATCACGTCAGACTGGTTATCCACGACTCACCTGGTTCGAGAAATCGACTGATGTTGCAGGCTGAGGTGCTGGTGATGGTCTTCGCGGGACCAGCTCATCTTCATCTCGAGAGTTACGTCGTTCGCGTCCAATTGTGACCGTGTGTCGCTGGCGCAGTTTGAGGTACTTGTTCTATCGTGTTATCGTGGATGAGACAGCGTAGTCTCGTCGCAATCGCAGTCGGCACACAAACCATCCAGTACTCCTTTTCTTTCTTCTCGTACTCCACTTGTCCGCGCGCTTCCGCCAACTGCTTCGTCAGCTCCAGGATCAAGTCGCCTTCGTCGTCCATGTCGCCCCGCCAAAATCTCCACGTGAGTTGGTGAGTGCCAAGTTTCTAGTTTGAATTCCCACCAATCGGAATTGTCTCCAAAACGAAGTTCGAAGCAAATTGTTTCGACCAATCAACAGTCGATCGAAAATCGACACGGTTCGACTCGATGGACCAATCACAGGCGAGGACCCAACGACCGCGCGACCCTTCACTCCAGCGAGAGGTGGCGGCTGCGTCCGTCGCCCTGAGCGCGTGGCGTCTCACGTAGGAATACGAACACCATGCACGTGGAGTCGGTGATATGACGACATGTAGGCGAGTCATGCGCACGCGCGGGTATGTGGGGGGGGGGTTGGTTGAACTGGAAGTGTTATCCTTTGGTCCAACTACGCAGCCCAAGCGAGCGCCGACATCGCCGTGCGGACATTTTTGCATCGGTGACGCTCTCTCGTGGAAAGTCTTTGCAGGAGCAAGGACAGCGAGAGGGCGGACAAAAAAGGAGGATGATGGGTGTTGACATGGTTGGGGGTCGTGTCATCGGCCGAGAAAGCTCTGGAATTCACGAATGTTGATGCCAGAGTGTTGGTGATTCCGAGTTAATGTGCTGGTCGATGGAAATTTAAAATCCTCAGTTACAATTATTGCGTGTCTATTCCAGACAAACCGTTGAAATAAAATAAAGTTTATTTTTCGAAATGCACGAAACCGTTGAAAGTTGGGGTGCTGGGACAGGGCGTGTTCTCTCGCCAACTCGACGGGATGGCATAACCGATTTTGCGCCGCCGCGACAAATGCAGTTCGCTCTGTGCACAAAGGACACCGTCTCGAAGGTGGACCTGTGCGACTACGACTTTCTCTGCGCCAACGCGACTGCATTCCTGAACGTGGACGGCACCACTGCTGAGTTTAGCTACGCCGATATGGACGGCGACGTGCTCACAATCAAGAACCAAACGGATGTTGACGAAGCCATCGAGTACATGAAAGTTGCTGGCTTGGACGTCCTCCGAATCGACGTGCGGGTTCCCCCGGCTTCTTCGACCATTTCCCCCGTCCCCAATCCGACAAGTGTCCAGACACCCCCAGAAGTACCGAGTCCTCCTCCAGCACCAATTGATGTCCCGGCGCCAACCCCATCTGTCCCGTTGACTCTCCCGGTCATTCATTCCCGTCGAGTGTGTGATGGATGCAACATGTACCCGATTGTTGGCACTCGCTTCCGACCCACGCGCAAACCTGGTCTCGACTTTTGCACGTCGTGCGTTGCTCAATCTAAGTGGCAGCACCATGCGCCATTTGAAACGATTGATAAGGAACTTGTGACTCACGACAATGTCACGTGCGATGGCTGCCAAATGTCCCCTCTTGAAGGTGTTCGCTACAAGTCCGCTGTCGTGGATGACTTCGACCTTTGTGCCACCTGCGAAGCTTCGGGCAAGTGGGCGGCCACTCACGAGCCTTTCCTCAAGATCACCCACCCCTGCAAGTCAATCCGACCGAACAATGTCCACGACGGAGTTGTTTGCGACGGATGCAACATGCACCCGATCGTTGGTGCCCGGTTCAAGTCTGCTGTGATCAAGAACTTCGACTTGTGCGAAACTTGCGAGCGTTCGGGCAAGTGGAATCTGAGTCATGGTCCGATGCTCAAGATCTACATACGCAAGCAAACTCCGGTTGCGCTCTATGTGGCCACCACCGACGAAGATAGCGTGCAAACACAAGAACAGTTCACAGCCCAGGCGCAGGAGCAACACCAACACCGACATCACCCACACCACCACCATCCCCATCCCCACCACCACCACCCGCACCATGGCCACCACCACCACCATCATAACCATCAACATGGTCCTCACCATGACAAGTCAAAAAACGGGGACGGATGGAAGTCGAAGCGCGAGTTTTGGAAGCAGCACTGCCACGAGCAGAAGGCGCAGTGGAAGGAGCAATTCAAAGCGCAAAAGGCGCAATGGAAACAAGACAAGAAGCACTGGAAGCGCCAACAACATTCTCCACGAGCGGCTCCCGATGACACAACTGTCCCTTCTCTGGCCGAAGCGATGGCGCACATCAAGGCGCAACTGAAGCAACACTTTACCCCAGAAAGGGTGGCGGAGGTTCAGGATACGTTGAAGGTGCACTTACCTGCTGAGATGTTTGAAGCATTCAAGGCGCGCTCGGATGAATGGTTGGCTTCGGTGGAAACGTCTCATCAAGCCATGTTTGTCGAGGACGTGACTGTGCCCGACGGCACGGTGTGCTTTCCCGGCGAGGCTCTGTCTAAGAAGTGGCGCCTGCGCAACACTGGCTCCAACGCGTGGCCCGTGGGCTGCAAGGCGGTCTTTGAAGGCGGCGTATCGATGGCGTGTGACGAGACCGCTGTTGTAGTGGTGCCTCCTTTGGCCCCTGGAGCTGACTGTGTTGTGGAGATGGTATTGATCGCTCCTCAAGAGGCTGGCCGCCACGCGAGCCATTTTCGATTGAGCACACCGAGCAACGTAATGTTTGGCGAGCGTTTTTGGATTGACGTGGTGGTTGACGCCGAAATGGCGCAAGCGGCGGACGACAACATGGTGGCGAATGCAATTCCCTTGGCCACTCTGGTCGTCCATGACGACGAAGTAGAGAAGCCGATGGAAGTGGCCGCAATAGACGAAGTCGACGACATAAAGGAAGCGATGGAAGCTCCCCCTGAGGTTGTGAAGGACGACCACGTGGAAGAAACTGCATCGGAAGCGTCGTCGGACGACTTCGTCGCAGTGGGAAGCCCTGCGGACGTAGATGCGCTTGAAGCGGAGGCCGAGAAGTTGATGGATGAGCAGGGTGAATTTGCGACGGAATTGGCCATGCTGGGCGCCATGGGCTTCGAAAACAATGAACGTCTTCGTGCGCTGCTGACGGAGTTTGAAGGTAACCTCGAAAAGGTCGTGGAGAAATTGCTCGAGTAGTCTGTCGCACTGCTTGTATTTGCGTGTTTTTTTTAAACTAAATTCTTTGAATCGATACTCTGTCGTGACGCCCAATTGCTCTGATCGTCGGGTCAAGGTAACTATCGCGTGTGTTGGCTCATGCGGCTCGGCATCGCGCTGAAGAACAAGTTTCAGACGTCTGAGTGGCTCCAGGTCTCCCGAAGATTTTCGACGCGCAAACACAACAGCCGCCCACGACGACGGATCTTGGTCACGTGGTCGCTTTCGAGCGAGGATCGACCGAGTGCAAAGTGGACCGAGACATGACGGATAAAGTGCACCGTGGCGATGTTTCCCTCGCCATGATGTGCTCGAGTTTCCCCAGCAGCCCTTCAAACGAGCTCCGGTCCAAGCAAGGGCTGGATTGCGTCGATGTCATCGAACCTGCACGCGATGTGTCGGACAACGGGGCGGCAGGGATCGCATGGTGCATGGACGCACTTGTTTCGTGGAGCAGCGTCGACCCTCAGGATTGCTGACGACGAGTTGCAAATGTCGGATTCGAGAGTGTTTGTCGTTTTGAAACGGATACATGAATCGACCAATCAAAAACGTCCACCGCACACCCCGTGGCGATGCCACGTTTGGCGAGTGCAACGATGGGAGTCACGGAGACTTCATCGGCGACTATGACGACGCCAGCTCGGACTGGACTGGCATCGCTACCATCCGCGGCGTTGGACGACGACTATTCCATGCATGTGGCCAAACCATGCACCTCCTTCTCACTGGTCGATTCGGACGATCTGTTGAGGCGAGGCAAGACTCCCATGAACATTACTTGACCTGACATGACTGGCCAACACAGGCATCGCCAAGTTTAACATGCATGCTGTGGACGGCATTCAATTCTGCATGGACCACGGCGTGTTGGACGGCTCACCAGATAGCGTCGCGTCCTTCCTGTTCAAACACAAAGGCAGGTTAGACAAAGCAGAGGTACGTTGAATATTTGATGGTGAAGACTGTCATGGGAGCCACTAGATCGGGGGGTATCTCTGCCGGCACGAGTCGTATCAACAAGGGTTCTGCACCAAAGTGCGCGTGGCGTACGTGGACTTGCTCGACTTCCCTGGCCTTCCCGTGGACGAAGCGATTCGCAAGTACGTTTTGTAGTGTTCTGAGCGACTTTTACCCGTGCTGGCATAGGCTCGTTGCGTACTTTCGACTACCAGGAGAAGCGCAGCAAATCGACCGCCTCATCGAGACGTTTTCCATTCGGTAACGCGATGTCGACATGGACGACCGTCATGACTGCGCGCGTAGGTACTACGCCCAGAACCCAACGCTGGTTGCGTCCAGCGACGTGGCTTTCTTCCTCGCGTTCTCGGTCATCCTGCTTCAAACGGTAGCGTCGCACGTACTAGAGAATGCATCTTGTGACCGCCAAGGTCACCAGGACTTGCACAATCCATCGATTCCTGTACCCAACAAGATGACAAAAGACCAATTCATCCGAGCCAACGAGGGGGCAGGCATTCCTACCGACGACGTGGGTACGAAGTCACGTCATGCACACGACTTGACATTGCCTGTGCAGCAGCCATCTACGACCGTATTCATGCGCGATCGTTGTCCATGGGAGCACGGACGATGGCGTGCGAAAAGTGCCAGACGCCGCTGCAAGATGAAGACGTGTTTTCAACCATCGCCGTCGACAACGACGACTTTTGCGAAGTGCTTGACTCGTGGTCGGTGGTCAAGAGGGTGACGCTGTGCGCGACTTGTTGGGGAGATATGTACATGTGCCACGACGTTGCGCTCGGGTTTTGTGAGATTTGCCCGACCGACGACGGAAACACTCCTACAATCACCCGCGTCCATCGAATGGACGAGTTAGTGGAGCAGTTGATGTGAGTTGTGTAACATGGAGGTCGGGACCACGTGTGCAACATGCTCGAGGACTTGGAATGGATCATGCAGAGGTCGACGAGGGTATGGGAATCGCAAGAAAGGTCGAGGGCAGGCGGGTTCAAGTGCAGTTTTCTTTGTGACGACAAGCACTCGACGAACAACGACTTCAAACGTGGGAGTTGGTTGCAGTGGCGGGGTCGAAGGCTGGAAGAGATGGAGTCCAATCGAACGGCAAGATCTCGTCGCAAGATGCTCAAGTCACATTGGCAAGGCCACAAGAGAAATCTCGGTACGTGGCATGCTGTGTTGGGCCAAAGCAACCACCAGCGTCGGCCCTCGTCACGATGGAACTGTTTGGCTGCGCATCATCATACTGGGATGATCCGGATGACGATTATCCGGATACATCTCGTGCACACCAACTTTGCCAGCGTTGACAGCCGGAACCATCCCACCTCGGATCTTGGAGGAGCACGTGAGATGAAGATGCAGTCGATTCTAGCGGCAATTCTCGTCTTCACTTGTCTCCAAGTGACTGCATCGACTTCTACCTGTATAAGTGCCCTTGACGGAAAGGTGCTGGACCTTCGCGAGTCAGCCGACATTGTGAACGACGACTTTTGCGATTGCATGGATGGCGTGGACGAACCTGCCACGTCCGCGTGCTCGCACTTGCCAACTTCCATGTTTCAGTGCAGAAATGAAGATGCGTTGACCTTGAGCATCCACTCGTCGCGCGTCCACGACGGTGTCTGCGATTGCTGCGATGGCACGGATGAACCGGACGGTCGTTGTGCCAACACTTGCCACATTGAGATTGCCAAGCGGCGAGAGCAAGCGGCCAAGGACTTGGTTGTACTGAAAAGCGGACTTGCAGAACGACAGCGGCGTTTACGTGTCCTCGCGGCCGACGATGCGAAAAAGGAACTGGACCTGGTCACCCATGCCGCCGCCCACCGTGAATGGCGTGCGTTGAAGCTCCAAATGCAAGTGTTTCTCGACCGTGAAACAAGACGAGAGTACGAGATGCAAGTTGCGTCGGCCAAGAAAAACCAACTTGCTGAGGACGATCCGTCCGACCATGCGCTGCATCCCGCCGACGCAGCCTCCTTCCTCGACGATTCCCCGTCGCCACCCGTCACACAACCAGATGACGCAGACGTCGCCACAGAGTTCCAGCATCCAAAGGTTCAGCGTTTCCTGGGCCATGCTGTTGTGTACCGTCAAAACGGAAACTGGGTAAGCGCGTTGGCGAATGACGCATTCATCGTGTTTTCGTCGCAGATGTCGCTGCGAGCTTACATGCATGACGTGATTGAGTCGGCCAAGAGGTGAGTTGGGAACGCTGTCTTTGCAATGTTACGGCGCGACGCAGGACGCCAGTGCGAACGGCAGCTGAGCGCCGAAAGGAAGACTTTTTGGGGCCGTTGTTCAACGGGGGCCGAGAAGGCCAAGTGCTCGTGCTCACGGCAGCATTGCGTGGCCTGGGTATGCTGGCCAACAACTCACGAGACCGCATGTTGGTCGACGATTCTCTCGAGTTGACGGGGCGTTGGTAGGTTTGGTGCTGGCGCCCGTTCGTCTTGTCGTGGAAGCGATTTGGTGGGCACAGTACTACTGGTCCCTCCTGCTCCATCGCATCGTTCCACCTGCGGTGCTGCGTCTGGTACGAATCAATCGATCCAAATCATGGCGAATTGCTCACTTGGGCGGCAGTGGCAGCAGGGTGTGGACATGATCGTGCTCGACGCCTGGCGGTCGCAGCCTCGCCTTGCTCTGCGGCGGTTGTTGCAAGGCCGATTCTTTTGGTGGTACTGGTACACGTCGTGGGGGGTGTCGACCGTGTGGGACGCCCCTGTCGTGGCGTACAATTATCTCTTGTACGTTTCCAACGCCCCCGCCACGAAAATTGTTGATGGCGCTGAGCATGGCGCAGCCCGGCAGTAGATACGACGGTCGTGCTGCCAGAGGCGTCGAGCTTGCGAAAGATCATGGAAGCCCTCGACAGTGAAATCGCGCAAACTCAACGAGTATGGTAGATCGTTGCGCGCGACGATATCTCACCCATGCGGGCAGGACATGGACGTGCTGACGGCGGTAGATGCCACCGACTACGGAGAGTGCTGTCGAATTCTAAAAGGCACATGCACGGTGGCGCAATTCGAAGTGGGCGGGTCGACCGACGACGTGCGACTGACCATGCCATGTAGAAGTACGTGTACAAAGTGTGTCCGTTTGGCGCAGTGCATCAAGACCAAATACGAATGGGGACGTGGAAGCGATGGCACGAAGACAGCTCGGCGTCGCTCACAATGGTGTTTGAGGATGGTGAAAAGTGCTGGAGCGGGCCGACGCGGTGAGGTTGCGTGGTCGCGGCGGTCCTCAATCGCAAACACAACGTAGATCGGCGCGGGTGGTGCTCGAATGCGGGGCTCAAGACAAGCTCCTTCGGGTCGAAGAACTCTCGACGTGCACGTATACCATCACGATGGCGACTCCCGCCGCATGTACGCAGGCGCAGGTGGATGCGACTGCCGCCGCCGCCGCCCACCGATGGGCCCGCAATGAATTATGAATGCTCCCGCATGACGTACGTGGGTTCGGGGATGGGCCCGTCCTCTTTAGATTTTGCCAAGGACACGCCGATGAATGTGTCTGTAAGCTCCAGAACATGGATGGCCTGGGGTAAAACAACCACGGGAGGATTGTATCTGGGCTCGGACCCATTCCACATAGCTTAGATTGATATTGTTGAGATGAAGACGATTATTACACATTCGCGACACACCGAACATGCGCGAGGACGGGGGACGTGCCGCTGACGGCGGTCGTTGCGACGCATGATCGTGGAAACGCGTGGAGCAAGGACGTGGCCCCGGCGCCCTTGACGCGATGCACTGCGTTGCGGTCCCCACCCCCAGACGGGCGGCACGTCGTTTGAGTCCACACGTCGACGTTGTCGGCGCATCCAGCACTCGCCACGCTGTTGCTGAAGAGCTCCGACATGGTCGGGAGCCGCGCCCGCAAGTTGTCACAAAGCGCCACCGCTGCATCGTACGTGACAGCGCCAGAGCAAGTCCACACTTCGCGAACGTACGGGAGAGATGGATTCACGACCTCGGTGCCGTTGCCGTCGTAGAGGACGCGGGCGACGAGACCACTCGTGCAGATGGACATGCCGGCACGCCTGGGCCATTGCAGCCCAGCACACGTCGCCGGAGTCCGGACACTGACGGCGGGAGAGCAGCTCCCGTTCTCGCCCAGACGAAAACCGTCGTTGCAAGCGCAGGCAAACGCTCCCCCTTGGCTGATACACATGTGGGCGCACGTGTGCATGCCCGCGGTGCACGGATCGACGGCACTGTCAGCGGCGCACTGGACCATCGCGAACGATGACGCTGGAGAGAGGCAGATCTCTTTGTTCACCCCCCAAGACGACGATGACAAGCCGGTCGCGATGTACCCCATGGCCCCCGTCGTCGAGTTGCGACAAGGCGTGGATGTCCACACCCGTTGGCCGCTAAAGGTCGAGCACGAGTACGCCGACCAGAGCCCGGCGCGAATTTCAAACAGAGTCGGGAGGCGCGACGACTGGGCGTCGCACTGCGCCGCCGCGGCGGTCCATGATGACGGTGGCAGGCAAAGGCGAAGGCCGTTCTGGACGCTCTTGGAAAGCAGTTGGAGGTAGGACGCAATCCAGTCGGGTGCGATGGCCCCCAGCCGTTGACTGGCACACAAACCACTTTTCGAGTCGACACCCCAGCTCAAGTCGGAACATGTGGCCGTCGAGAGCGCCGAAATGGATGGTTGGCACGCCCCGGTGCTGTCGATGGCCAAGCCGGGGTTGCACACACAACTGGTGACGTTTGTGCCCGCGACAACGAGGCATTGCTGATCTTGGAAACATTTGTCCAGGCAGATGGGAAGCGGCGTGGCGTCCGCAATACACGCTGGCGTGTACGAAGCATTCGCTGGCACGCAGACGGGGTGTTTTCGGCTGCTCGTGACCGTGATCCATCCGTCCGTCATGGCTGGCTCTGACAGGCCATCCTGAACAAACATGCAGCGAGTCGACGTCCAGATGCGCGTCTCGCCGCACGTGGAAGCGATCGTGGCGCCTTGCATGACTTCCGCCAACGTCGGTAGCCGCGCTCCTTGCTGCGTACACGACGCATTTGCCAGCGCCATGGGGACCCTGGCCTTTCCGGCGCAGTTGCCTTCGATTTTGGCGCATGTCGAGTTGGCCGACACCGTGTTCCAGTTGAGTCGGGTGCATGTACCTGTGGAAGGCGGCGCGAGCTGCGCCGGACTACACGTCTTGCCGTCAGGTTGGAGTCGAAACCCGTCGTAGCACGTGCACGCGTAGCCGAATCCTTGATTGATGCACAGTTGGGAACACGAGTTGGGAGTGCATCGCCTGGACGTGGTGGCGCCTGTGCCACATCACCCGTTAGCGCGCCACTCGGCTCCACCTCCGACCTACCGCGGTCTCGAACGCACCGGACAAATGCCGTCGACAGGGCACTGGACCGACTAGAGCACGACGGCGGGGCAAACGAAAGCCCAATGCTGGATCCGCCAGACGTGACCGCCCCCTGCACCTGCCCTGTCGAGTCGAAGCACGGCGTCGACGTCCACACTTCACTGTAGTCGTACTTGCAGCCCGAACCGAGGGTGACGTCGGCCGCAACTTCGCTCGCCGTCGGGAGCCGGCCGCCGAGTGAGCCGCACCACGTCTGCGCCTGGGCAAACGTGAGGCGCCCCGAGCACGCGGATGGAGTGGTGCCAAAGGATCGTGCGCACGGCACTGTCGCGTTGTTTTGATCGGAGAATGTCCACGGCAGCGGAATCCCATCGCACGCAAAGGGCGACGTGGTGGGCGGCACGTTAGTGCATGTGACGCCGTCCGCATCGAGCCGTTGCGACGGTCCGCATTCACATCGAAATCCATCCGCCAAGTCGACGCAACCTTCACTGCACATGGCGTTGCCCACGGCTGCGCACGACCCCACGACCATTTTGTCGGCCACGCATACTGGAAACGCGGTTTGCGTCGATGTTGTCAAGCACATGACCTTGTCGAGGAGCTGAGGGCCGCCGCCTGCAGCTGCCACTCCGATCGTGGGCTGTTGGTCCCGCGAACACGAAGTCGATGTCCACACGAGTTGCTGGCCGTACCCGCATTCGTTGGAGCGCACCAGCACGTCCAAGGAAGATCGCAACTCGCTCAAGAGGGGGAGGCGCGCCCCACGGTTCGCACAGTACTGAAGCGCAACCGTGTAGTTGACCGCGCCGGGGCAGGGCGGGTTGCCCGGCGTCGTGCGCGAACTCGAGCAGATCGCACGGTCCGTCTGTAAATCTGTCCACTGCAGCTGTCGACAAGATCTTGCCGACGTCGCTTGGCGTGGTGGAGTCGCTGGCGCCACGACGGTGTCTCCTTGGGCGGACGTGATGGCCTCCATCGTGTTGTCTGCAGACGACGGTGGTTGCTGGCACGTGGCACCACCTGTGGCCACTGCGACCAAAGTTCTGGCGTCGTCGCACGTGCACGTGTACGACCCCTCGGTGTTCCAGCACTTTTCCGTGCACGTGTGCATGCCAAGCTCGCACTCGTCAATGTCTACGACGTGAGTGGCATTGTTGTCAAAGCCGATGGGGATTCGTCGGTACCTGGATCGGCCACGCACACGACCGTCGCGAGCTCCGTGGTGGCCCTACACGCTTCTGACTCGCCCGTCGTCGCGATGAAGCCGGGATTGAAGCCATTGGCGCACGCCGTGTTGGTCCATATGGCCACATCCCGAGCGCATGCAAAGGGAAAGTCGGCCTTTCCCACGACTTCTTGCCGCAGCGGCAGGCGTGTGCCTCGGGCGCGACAGTACGTTCGTGCATCGGCATACGTCATCCGATGGGTACACCCCGTGCTAAGGCTACAGATGGGCGACGATGACAGCATGGGTCGGTTCAGTTGCTTGCATGTGGAAGCGGACCGCAAGAGGACGGTCGGGAAGCACGACATGCCGTCGCTGCCAAGAGTGAACCCGGCGTCGCACGTGCATGCGTACTGGGATTCGGCCTGGCCCACGCACACTTGGGAGCAGCGACTGCTAAGGCTACACGACGTGAACTCTAGATAACGCAGCGCATGACGTCGTCGATTCAACCACGGAAGCGACCAACCTCGTTCGCTGATGCAAATGGGGAACGCGGTGGACATCGTGTCGAGCACACACGACTGCGCCTGCGTCGAATCGGACACGATAATGAATCCACTCTGGCCGGACGTCATGAGGCACGTCGTGCTCGTCCACGTCCACCCGTCCGAAAAGTCGCACAGCGCCGCCTTGAGCCACCCAGCTCTGGACTCTGCCACCGTCGGGACACGGCCTCCCAAATCTACGCCAACAAAAATGCGCATCAGAACACTCACGCGTCCGTCGGCATCGCAGCGCATCGGCGGATTACCTCTGCAACGGGCGACGGCACCGGCGTACGTGCTGGGGGGGACGCATCCACTGAATGTCTTGGGGTTGGCGCACAGGTTGGAGCTGTACGCGATGCCCCACGACAAGTTGGAGCACGTCATGCGCGAGCGGGAATTGTTGCGATGGGTCGCTTCGACCATTTCGTCGGTGGTGAGCGCTGTGTTGGGAAGCGCCATGGCGGCGGTCGGCGTGAGTTGGTTGCGAACGACGTCGCCCCAGCACACGACGGACCCGTTCACGGCCGTCGCGCACGAGTGCGTCGTGCCCGCCGATACGTGATAAAACATGCCGGCCGGCGGCACCGCCTGCCCCAAGCTGTTGTCACCCCAGCACCGCAGTCCCCACGTCACGGTGACGGCACACGTATGGGCCCACCCCGCCGCGATCTGGAGCACCGGGACGTTCGTCGGCGGCCGCGACTCGCCAAAGTCATTGCTTCCCCAGCAATCCACCATGTCGTTGAGTCGAATCGCACAGCAAAACTGGTGGCCGCACGACACAAACCGGTGCTTGATTCCGACTGGCACCCGAGATACTTGGCCGACACTGTCGCGCCCCCAGCACAGCGTTTCGTACCTGCTCGTGATCGCGCACGTGTGGAAGCCACCCGCTGCGACGTAGAGGTAGGTTAAGTCGGGGACGTTCAACTGGCGGTCGTCGTTGAAACCCCAGCACTTGATGCGCCCGGTTGTCTTGAGGCTGCACGTGTGCATGCCTTTGGACGACACCATCACGAACGCGTCGCGGGGGGCGGCGAACGCGCCGCTAATAAAGTTTCCCGTCGTGTCGATCGCAAGCGACGAGCACGTAACCGATCCGGTCACCCGCAGCGCACACATGAGGTCGTAGACGAGAGACGCCGTGATGTCGACGGCGTTTGTGATCGTCGATGCAGCCCCGCCCAAGTTGGTTGACCCCCAGCACACCGCTTGCCCCGTGGATGCGACGCCGCACGAAAACTTGTTGCCGGCCGCAGCCACCTTGCGGAATTGGTACGACGTGAGGTTGAGCCCCGCGCCAAGATCGTCTTCCGGCGGCGGCGGAAATGTGATCACGTCGCCGCCACTCCACGTCGCATTGGAAAACGTTGCGTTGAAGGCGTCCGAGTCGGCCGTCGTCTGCAGGCTGTCGTCCAAGGTCGATGTGTTACGGATGCAGTAACCTGTCGACTTTGGGCGGAAGCCGACCGCGGGAGCCATCGACGACAGCACGCCATAGCACAGTAGATTTCCCCCTGTGCTTGACACGGGGTTGATGGCTGTCACGCCGCACACTTGGCGGGTGCCCAGCGCGAGGCGCGTAAAGTTCACGGACGGGGTGAGCCCCATGTATGCGATTCGATCCCCCCAACACACAGCGGATCCGTTCAAGAGCAGTCCGCATGAGAATGCGCCGGCCCTAGCGGTCCCGACAAAAGAGTATTGGCCGGGTGGGACAACGGTGTAGTTCATCGTGGGGAGGTCGCGCCCCCAGCACGACGCGTTGTTCGCCACCGTCACTGCACACGTGTACCGGTCGCCCGCAGAAACTTGCGTGTACTTGGCGGTCGCGTTGGGAGGGTCGCACTCGCCGTTGTCGCAGTTGCCCCAGCACGCGAGGCGCTGGTCCGGGAACGAAACAGCACACGCATGACGGAAACCTGTCGAGACGGAAAGGTACTGGCCTGCAGGGGGGCTGGATTGGTTGAAGTCGTTGGCACCCCAGCACCGCAGCGCGCCAGTGATGGTGATCCCACAAGCGTGGAGGGCTCCGGCTGAGATAGATGCAAACGGTTCTACGGGCGGAGTCACAACACTGCCGGGGGCGTTTGCCCGTGCTGTGTAGTTGGCCCCCCAACACATGGGGAAGCCCGTTGCGTTGATGGCGCACGTGTGGTAATCGTACGCCGACACTTGGACGAAAGACGTGGCGGGAGAGACGGTCGCTTGCCCAAAGCTGTTGAGGCCCCAGCACGACATGGCATTGAGGGGATTGATCGCACATAAGTGGTTGAATCCGATTGAGAATGGCCGGGCTTGCGTCCACGAACACGGCAACGGCGCCAAGGATGAGTTAGCTATCGATTTCGTGTCGTTGGCTTCTGCGAGGATGCGCCCATCGAAGGATGAGCGCGAGGGGGGCGTCACAGCGTATGAGCAACTTTGCGACGGCAGGTGAACCCGCACGGCTGTCACACCCACAGGGGCATTCCACTTTTGCTTGTCCACGACCAAGTCGTACGTGGACGCGGAGCCGAGAGTATTGGCCAAGAACGCCGTCGAGTCTAGCGACATGGGCTCCACGTGAAGCATGTACCCGGACGACACTTTGGCCCAGTTTGTCGTGTGCAGCTCGAGGGAGGCATCGTCGACGCTATGCGACAGCTTCAAGGCAATGCGAGACCCCGCATACCAATCCGACGTGATGTGAGCTGTTACTTCAGGGCACGAGAGATCGCGATGACGAGGGTAGTCGAGGTCGTCGTTTGTGTTGTGTGTACCAACAGGCGTGGTGGTGTAGAGCCACAGGAGCGACGCCGTCGTCGACAGTGTCGCCGCGATGGCGACGACAGAGGACGAAGACCGAGATGCCTTGGTCATGGAGTGAGCGAGGCCGTGGTAGTTGTGGACTGCTCCACTGGCAACACACGCGCCCCGCACCGATCTCGTCACATTCCTCGACAGATCTGCCCATGCAAGCCATTCTTCCGCCGGTGAAACTGTCACTTGATACATGTCAATCTACCGTGGTTTTCCCCGAAATATCAAAAAAATTGGATCAAATTTCATCCAATTTCGTCCAAGCCATCACACGACGAGATCGGCGGTGGCGAGATGGAGATTTTGCCGGCGGCCTCCTACCGTGTCGACAGCCAAGTTACTCACAGCGGCAGCGCTTGTTGAAAAAGACTGACATGGCGACGATGACGACGCTATCGATCGCGCATCTCTTTCCTCTAAATGCCTACTGTTTCGATACCTTGGCCTTGCGCAGATCGTGCTTGAACGAACTCAAGTTGTTGACGGCCGCTTGGAAGGCGTCGACAAGCAGCTTGCATGCGGTTTCGACGTGCTTTGTCGTGTGGTTCGCGTTGAGAGTAAAACGAACGGTTGCGAGCGGGGTGTCCATCAATGAGTTGGGCTTCAAGTGGGGCGACACAACAGCCAACCCGCGGGTTTTGGCCTCCTCCACGACACGGCGACACACCTGGGCAGTCCATTCTTTGTTTGTCGTGCCATTTTCCGTGGCCACGCGAACATGAACGACGGGGGATATCGGGTCGCTGAGTACATGCAGACCTGGGATCGCTGACAACAAACGGTGGGCTTGGACCGCGCGCTCGCGCAACGACTTGAGCAAGCCTGGTTCACTTTTGAGGATGCGAATGGACTCGGAAGCTACTGCAGACGTGTAGGGCGGAGCAGACGCCGAAAAAACGTAGCCAGCGCTATTGATGCGCTGGTAGTCAACAACGAGTTGGGATCCCGTGCTGAAGCCACCGACTCCAGCCAGCGTCGTGCTCAGGGCGCCGCACAAGATGTCGACGTCGTCGACGCTCATGTTGAAATGCTCCGTGATGCCTTTGCCGGTCGCGCCGAGCACCCCAAAGCTGTACGTTTCATCGAGAAAGAGGCGGAAGCAGTGCTTTCGGCTGAGTTCAACGACCTTTGGAAGGGGCAAGAGAGCTCCCGAGTTTCGGAACAGCCCTTCCGTGACGATGTAGCGGCGCTGGGCATCGGACGCGCGGCCGGCCTTCTTGTCGGCAGCGCGCACGGAGTCCAACACGCGTTCAAGGTCTTCCATGTCGTTGTGTTTGTAGAACAGAGTCTTGCAACGTGCGAGGTTGACGCCGATGAGGATCGAATCCGTCACGCCCTCGTCGACCACGATGAGATCGCCGCGCTTGGCGTAGGCGGGCAATACCGACGAACAAGTCGCCTCCAAATCGGAGAACGTGATCGAGTCGGTCGTCCCGATGAACGATGCGAGGTCCTTCTCCAGGATTTCGTGCGTGTCAATCGTGCCGTAGAACCCACGAGGACCGCAAGACCCACATCCATACTTGGTTAGCGCCGAGCGCGCCACCGACTTGATCTCTGGACGCGCCGCCATACCCAGAAAGTCCACAGTCGCCATGTTGAGCAAGGGGTCTTTGATACCCTGGATCTTGATGTGACTGGATGGAGTTGTTTCGACAACGCCAATGTACGCAGGGCGGTCGTCCGCCGGCTTGAACGAGGCTGGCACGAGCGGCTCGGGCTCCCATTCATCGCAGAGCGTTTGAATTTCAGATTCCGTAAGCTTCTCGCCCGTTTCTCCTTTCGGGCGCGACGAGCTCTTCTTCACGAACGAAATGTACAGGATGAACACGATCAAGAACGTCTCGATAATCACGTGCTCGGGGCTGCGGTCATAGATGGTCTTGATGTAGTTGTAATACGTCCATGGGATCCGTTCCACGACACGCCACAACTCCGCCACATCCTTCGATGCATAGGCGTCTACAATCGGTTGCGCGTTGGCAGTCCACCACTCTCCCCACCACGATTCACTCATCCGTGTCCGGTCTCTCCACAATCGGCGGAACTGTGGGCGGCCTTCAGCAATGACTCGAGAGATAGGGTTGACGCATACTGGGATTTGTAAGGGGACAATTCTGATTCGCTAAAACTATATTCAAAATTGTCCAATCAACTCTACCCTAGTAGATTGCAATATTGGTAGATCCTATTGACTGTGAACGTACTGTTTTTAAAATTGTGATGTTTTACTCAAATAACCGAGAGACGTTTAACAATTAAACGTCGACACCGCTAATGGCGCAATACAGTAGTAGCCTTCATTGAGGTACCATGCACGATATCTCGTTTTCTAAAGGAATTTCCATTGCGTTTTTAACAAGCAGTCAAACAAGGGGTACAGGGCTGGCGATAAATAAGGACTGCTCATTCCACTTAGCAGCATTATGGAAGATTTACTTGTGTTAGACTTCAAAACGGCTCTCGGTGCGTCAATAACGATGGAACCATTGATAAATCAGTCACAAAAAGGCGTGTCGGAAGTGCATTTTGCCGCGAGTATAAATAACGTGCGTTTTGTATATAGACAGCATTCAGTCGTGCATAAAGAACGGGGAGGTCGTGAGCTCTTGCTAGGTAAAATATCACGGATTTTGCGAACTTTGTGACATCGTGTCATTCAAAACCTACGTTGGAAACTAGGATGGTTCAATTGCGTTGATGCACACTTGTCGAGCACTACGAGAGCGACCACGTTACTCTTTTGTACTGCTACTTTGTTGCTTCGTCAATGTCGTTTGTAGCACTAAACATATCGTCTGCAGTGCATGCAGGTTGGCGAAGGAAGTAGAGCAGCACTAACGTGGCCAAGGAGGCTTGAGCAGGGCGGGGCCACGAGTCGGGTTAGAAATAGTAGTCATGACCTCACTCAACTGCAGTTGGTCCCAAAATATCAACCATGCGGCATCGTCAAGGTGTGCAGAGGGTGTCAAAATCGCCGTGCAACTCAACAGCGCAGTTCACGTCCTTTGTGGTTGGACGCGAGCACCCTGTCATCGGCAGCGAAAGATCTCGCATGGGTTCTTTTTGCTTCCATGAAATTGGATATATAAAATATTAAAGGTTATGCATACAATGTGAGAGGATGAAATCCCAGAGGGATGCGACCAGACGCGGTGGCCGTTACATGGGGGAATTCCAGGCCAGACAAGCCGTGGATATCTCGACACGTGGGGATCATCACACGGATCTAGGCCATGTCAACGAGCACTTCGTCCATCGAGGGTGCTGTGGAGGTTGTGGCGGTCGCGAGTGGTATCGGAAAAGATGAAGCTCGCCCAGGTACCCACAGCTTTGTCGTGTCGGGGACCACATTTCAAGTCGACACCAAGTACAAGTTCATCAAGCCGATTGGTCATGGAGCGTACGGAGTTGTCATGTATGTTCCATCCTTTGCCCCTCCACCTCTCCCTCCTTCTCATGCGCATTGGACGCAGATCAGCGCAAAACACCGAAACTGGAGACAAAGTTGCCATCAAGAAGGTGTCCAAGGCGTTCGAGGACCTGATTGATGCGAAGCGCATCTTGCGAGAAATCAAGCTCCTCCAGCACTTCGACCACGAAAACGTACATCCTCCCTTCCTCTCCGTTTCCTGTGACTCTTCTCGTCACATGAGCCTTCTGCACAGATCATCACGATAGTCGACCTGTTGCCGCCGACGTCGCTGGCGCACTTTGAAGATGTGTACATCATCTCGGATCTCATGGAAACCGACTTGCATCGCATCATCTACTCTCGGCAGCCGCTTAGCGACGACCACATCCAATACTTTCTCTACCAAGTAAGCACGGTTTTCCACTCTCGACTGCCTCAAAGTCTCCTCCACTCAACGTGAATGTTTGGTGGCAACAGATTTTGCGTGCGCTCAAGTATATCCACTCGTCCAACGTGCTGCACCGCGACTTGAAGCCGTCCAACTTGCTCCTCAACTCGAACTGCGACCTCAAAGTATGCGACTTTGGGCTGGCGCGGTAAGGCATCACCATCCATCAGTCCACGGCAACCATACCCTCTCCGTTTCATGAATCCTGACATGACCGGGGGAGGGTAGTGGCGTCGAGCCTGACGAAGACAACATGGAATTGACCGAGTACGTCGTCACGAGATGGTACCGAGCGCCCGAGATCATGCTGTCTACAAAGGTATTCTATTGGAGTGAGGCTCGCACTTCCGCCTGACTCTGGTACGATCGTCACAGGAATACACGAAAGCAATCGACATTTGGTCCACGGGATGCATCTTTGCCGAACTGCTCGGGCGCAAGCCCATGTTCCCCGGCGACGACTACATCCACCAGCTGCAAATCATTTGCGACAAGTTGGGGACCCCCAGCGAGGCCGAATTGCACTTTGTCACTAGCGAAAAGGTACTCCATGGCTGATTCCACGAGGCGTTGTGTGCGCACGTCACATTGACCGCGATGTTGTGCAGGCTCGCCGATTCATGAAGAGCCAGCCAAACAAGCCCAAGATCCCGCTCGATCGCTTGTTTCCCAATGTCAAGCCCACGGTAGGATAGTGCGATGTCGATTCGCTCGCACTGACCGCATTTGACGATGCAGGCGCTCGACTTGCTCGACAAAATGCTCGTGTTTGACCCATCCCAGCGCATTTCAGTCGAAGAGGTAATGTACTCCGACATGGGAAGAGCGACGTGAGATGCCCACGGCGTGGCTTGGACTAGGCGTTGCAGCATCCGTACTTGGAATCGCTCCACAACTGCGAGGACGAGCCCAAGGTAAGTCGGCGTTGCTACCGTGGTGGAGTTGAGGAGCCTCATGAGAAGCGGTGCATGTAGGCGACCAAGCACTTTAGCTTTGAGTTCGAGAAAGAAAACTTAACCAAGCGACGCCTCCAAGAGCTTATTGCCGAGTGCGTCGTGAACACGTTGGTCGAGACGTGGAATCTCACCGATGTTGGGATACGTGTAGGGAAGTGTGCCATTTCCATCCTGAATGGCGCGACCAGCGCAACTTGCCGCCGTCAGACGCAAAGCTGTCCGCCAGTCGAAGCACGGACGCCACAATCGACGGGTGTGTTGGAGCTGTCGAGATGGCAGCGCATGTTACCAGCACGCATGTGTTGTCCAATAGATCGAAAGGCCACGACGACTGAGGAGCGCGGTGTTCGGCGTCGGACGACCGTGCGTTCGTTGGGGGTTGATTCAAGTCATCACTCTGCGCACTCAATTAAGTCGAACACAATCTATTTCGTATAGTAGTTTGTCCAAGGGCCACTGCCTTTCGCATAAAAGTCCATCGGATACGAGTCGTCTTGCCACTTCTCGTCCGCCAAGCACACTTCCGCTTCGTACGCCGTCAGCAGCGGCTACAGCACAATGCACAACCTTAGACCAAATCCCACCTGTCCCGAAGCCATCCACCCACGGCAAGCCATCGAGAGAGAGTACATGACATCAACCTTGGCAAAGGCGTAACCCCAGTCGACCGAGAGCCGAGGGCATGCCACTTGAATCCACGCGTCAACTTCGTGAAACATGGCAAGCTATATGAAGGATGAAAGTCGCAACAGAGTCGAGGGGACTTTACCTTGTCGGGGAAGATTTCCGACAGGAGAAGGGTGAAGTGCGTCTTGCCACGGCGTTCCAACAGAGACGTGATGTGGTCGACGATGACTGGACTTCCTTGACGACCGAGTGTGCCCATGATGATGCCAAACGTTTGCGCGGACTTGGCACGGTCCACGGCGTCCCTGGCCATCCATTTTACATGAGAATTTCAAGCAGCGAGTCGTGATCACCCTAGCACGTACTTTCGAATGGACACCATTTGAGGCAAGTCGTAGCTCTCACAAGACAGAATCTTTGGGTACGGGTCGTATCGATATGCTTTGACGGACGGATTGGCAATCATGGCCGACTGAAGTCGAAGGGTTAGCACAACTTGCATGAATATCATGAACGACCTCGAGGTGGAAGCGGCCGTCGGCAACAAACACAAGCGCCTCGCGATCAGGGAACTGCGGCGACGTGCACCCGAGCACTTCGCCAGGCGACAGTGGCTTGGCTTGCGGCACAACAATGTCCTTGAAGTGGGCCTTCAGCTCGGTCAACGCAACGTGCATGGCCGTTGCGAATTGGATCGTCCCCATCAGCGCTAGCTGCACGTAGAAAATTCTAGAATGCACACCATGATGCATGTTCCGCACCTTGGTCTCGGGTGGAAACGTGAGCTTCATGCACTCGACCAACTAGCCAATTTTTGAGATGCCCAGACTTGACAAGAGCACTTGCTTACATGGGTCACGTCGATCGTGATGTCGACGAAAACGTACAACATCTTGATCGTGGTCACGTCGATGGGGACGAGGCAACTGTGACCGTAATGCACCATAAAGTCTGCGCCAAGTGCCTTTGCCGTCAGGTCGTCCACGCAGCATGCGCCATACGTCACCTAGAAGGCAGCACATGCGTTCGATGTAGCAGTCGTTGGCTGGTGAAAAAGACTGCTTACATCGCCCATGATGATAGATGTGGCGCCGGCAAAACGCTCGAGGATGTCCGAGATCACGCACGCGTACAAGAGCAGTCCTTCGGGAAATTGAAGAGCCACACGCTTGGCTCCAGCCTACGCACACAACCGAGTCTGTCGAGGGAGCATTCCCACATTCGACGTCATGGTGAGACCCCGCACCTGCTTGATCTTCCAGATTGTCTTGCGAATTTCAAAGTTGTAGTTCCAAGGAAGCTGCTCCATGGCCTTGGCAAGCAAAGGATCGTTTTGAATCTCGTCCGGGATTTGGTTGGAAATCTTGCGGCGTAAGGCAGCAGCAGAAGGTTTTCGCTTCACGAGCCTGGACGTACCATGAGTTGCTTTCCATCACTATCCAGAAGTTATGCAGCGAACGCACTTGTTTTCACTTGCACAAGATCCTCCGTCGCATCCTTCTTGACTACACGAACGAGATGCCTCGGGTTTACGTCCACTGAATCGACGCGGCGCAACAGCGGTGACCTCGTCCATTTCGCGTTTGCGTGAGATATCCGGACAACCGGATATCATTGGTGCGACGTTGGCCAATCCAATCGTCGCAGCTACTCAAGGATTCAGCCAATCGAACAAGCTCACCATATATATTGACCAATCAATAATCATTATGTGTGTTTATAATCTTTTGTCCAATCAAGTTTCTTTATTTATCACTCATACCACTACGTATCTTCAGGTTGCGGTTGTCCGCGAGAGAGAGCGCGGGCTGTCGACGCCGCCAACTCGTTGGGCGAGATGAACTCCACGGATGATATATGGCACGTGGACTACACAAGGAAGCGACTGGAGCAGGCGGCACAGGGTTGGAGTAGCATTGCGCTTGTCGTCAGTGTGAACTCGTGTATGTTTGCCGTGGCATGCGTCCTGTTTCGCGTGTCCCGGAGCAGCCGCACGAGTCTCTTCTTCATGGGCAAAGTCAACTCCAACTACGCTGCATATCCGTTTAACCAACCGCACATGACCGAGTGGCAGCAGTTTGTTGCGTTTGTCTTCACGATGAACGATATCGCGTCGCTCCACAAAGCCATTGGAGACGAGGGAGCGTTCTACTTGACGTTTCAAGTCTACGCCCTCAAGATGGTGCTCGTCATGACTGCCTTTGCATTACTTGTGCTCATTCCGACCTACGTGCTGTGCGCGCCGACATCGTTGGCCGCGTTCAGTACGATGACGATCCGAGCATTGCCGGACAAGTCGCCCCTGTTGTGGGTCGCGGTCGTGAGCTGTTATGTGTTTTCAGGCCTGTACGCGATTTTCCTGACCCAGCTTAGTCGCTTGTGCAACAACAAGGACCCGACCAACACGGACCTGCTGTGCATGTTTCCCTCCGAGCTCAGTGCGAAGACCGTCCTTATCGACGCCGGCGCTCCCAAGTGCATGTCGCCCGAGCGCATCTTCTACCTCCTGGACCAAGTGAGTTTGACCGTCCGTCCACCAGTCATTCGCATCCTGTCCACAATTGCTTTTGCCATGTCGTAGATCTTTCCAGGATTGATCTCGCACGTTGCGGTCGTGTACGACTTGACCGAGTACAAGCGCAGCCACACGATTCGTATCGCCCACGAGAATACGGTTGACCGGCTCACGCTGCTCATGGCTCGAAAGCACCGTGGGGACCTGCCATGGTATGTCCACTTGTTCCACGAGCCCATGTCGTACGTGTCAACAAAGTCGCTGGCGGCGCAAATCCAATTTCTCCAGCGAGATATCGACAAGCGCCACCAAGACGAGATCCGGTCGATTCAGCGCATCCTGACCACCCATCGCGGCACGGGCCGTCTATTTATTATCTTCAATGACCCGAAGGCCAAGGCCAAGTTTGTGCGCAAGATTCAGCACCGCAGCACGACATACCTCATCGCACGGACCCCGAAAAAGCTCCACACAGCACGTACGTGCACCGCCATTTATGTCCGCCGCGTGGACGCCAATGCTCGTATCCCTGTCTAGTGCGGCAAAAGATCCACGAACTCGCGCTCACGTCGTGGCACTTGGAGCTCGCCCCTGAGCCAGACGACTTGGACTGGCACTTCATCTCGTATCACCGGGTCAAGCGGACGGCGCAGACTGTGCTCTTGTACACGTTCTTGACTGTATTCATTGTCGTATTCACGTCGCCGCTGGCCGTCACGTCCGCCATTGCGTCTGGCAAGTACGCAGGTGCGGGTAAACGAACGACACATCGGCCTTGTCCTGACATCACACAAATTTGTGGTGGCCATAGGCACGGCCAAGTCGTTAAATGATCTCGTGATGCAAACGAAGAATTGGGCGGCCAACCTGTCCCCTGCCATCGCAAACGTGACAGCGTCGTACGTGCCGACCATGATGTACGCTTCGGGCTGTGAAACGTGGTCTCACTTGGTTGCAGTTTGGTCATGATCAATGCAATACTGCTCAACGTGATTCTGCACGCTGGGCTCATGCAACCCAAGTGCACCGACTCGGCCAAAGAAAAGAGCATCCTGCATTACAGCGCCGTGTGTACGCTGTGATCGCAAACGTGTCGACGCACCGTTCATGGACGACGTCTTTCGTAGACCTCATCTTCAACACGCTCGTGGTCCCGAGCTTTACCTTTGTGTCAATCAATTCGCTGATTCAGCACTTTATGGGCCAAGGCCAGGTACGTCGCAATACCGCCATGCTGCTGATGGATTTCACTTGAATGGATCAGGTGCTCGAGATGTTTGAGATGCTCTTTCTCAACAATTCGGGGGTGTTCTTCGTCAACTATGGTACATATATCAAGTACCCTCACGAGGGTAACCTTTTTTCTCTGTTGCGCAGTCATTCAGCGCGCATTTGTTGGGACGGCGATGGCTGCCTTGCGTCTGTCGGAGGTGAGAAAAGTACCAAGCGCACGGCCCACAGCTGACGACACCCAGGCGGGACAAATGTGCTGGAAAGTGGCGCGGGCATTGACCCCGACAGAGCATGACGATGCAGTGCAGCCGTGGAAGTTTTACACAGGCACGCAGTCGGCCCTACAAATCAGGTAATTGCCCCTCCCGAACACGGTGGATCGCCGTCCGCTGACTTGTTGTTTCTAGCGTGTTGGTAGTAATCGTGGCGTTCAGTACGGTCGTCCCTGTGATATTGCCGTTTGGGTCGTTCTACTTGTTTGTGCAACACATCGTCGACAAGTACGCGACCCTTGTACGGCACTGCCGCAGGTTCCTCGACTTTCTGATGTAGATATGCCTTGCTCTACGTGCGCCCGAAAATCAACGGGAAAGGCGCGATCGCCACGACGTCGACTCACGCGAGCATGTTTGCGCTGGTAATATACCAGGGCGCGATGGCCGGGTTCTTCCTCGTTCGCGGAACGTGGCACCAAATCGCGGCGGTGGTCGCACTGCTATTGGTCTCGATGGTGTTTATGCTCTGGCACTACATTCGAGACAAAGGGCAAATGTACCGCGCCGTGGGCCAGCCATACAAGCCAGAACAGACGATGCTGCTCAGCCCAAACTCCAAATCTGTCGACATGTACCGCGACCCTGTCCTGCGGCTCTTGGACGCCACGACGCGGACGCAGAGCGAGCGGTATGGCGCGATTGTGTTGCCATGATGCACTCTTCCCCCATGAATCAAGAAGCTTCCGAGACTTTTGTGTTTGTAAAGAGCACTTGATGTTCATACTGCTGAAACCACTACACGCGACCAGGAGCCACCGACTTGAACCGCAGGACGCCGTCCTCGAGCCATACAACGGTTGGCAAATCGTCCACCTACACATGGCCTTTTTTACCTTCAAATGCGATCGAGAGAATGCTCTACCACGTCACCGGCATCGCGAGCCGCCAGCGCATCGCATGTCGTGAACGTATCGGCGATGGAAATCAGCTCGGCATCAAACTTTTGCGCGTATACCTACAACGCGCGGAGCCTGGTGAGTCTCCTTGGAGAAGCATGGAACTCGACGCATCGCACCTTGGCATGGGAATACCCCCCAATGCCAGCGAGGGCACGACCCTTGAGCACTCCATACACGTGGATGTCTCCATCAGCTAAGACTTCCGCGCCTGAGTTCACCGAACCCATGACGACGAGGCCCTGTCCTTTCGCATAGATCTGTTGCCCTGTTCGCACACTTCCTTCTACTACCATCATGCCTTTCGTTCCATGCGTAGGTGACGTCGTGAGCGGTTCTGTGTTGCTCGTTTCATGTTCAACCAACGGGTCCTTTGCGTACGATTCTTCTGTCACCGCTGCATACTCCGCCTCGTCCTTTGATGTAGTGTCGTCAAATGCTGGCACAGATTGCCACCGGTCGCTGCTGGTGTCTTCGTCACCCATACGTGTGCCCATGATGCTTGGAACTTGAAGCGTGCGCCACGCTATGGTCTTGACATCTTCGCTCGCGTTGGTAATGGCGATGGGAACGAGATTAGCATCCTTCAGTGAACTAAACAACGCCTTTAACTCGGCTGGTCTGATGGGAGACATGTGAGGTGACCCATTCGAGCTCACGTTGGCCAAATCGACAACAACGGGGCCGCGCAAAGACCAGTTGGCTTTCGCTGCTGCCACCGTGGCCTCCATATCGTACTCGCCATTCACACGTGTTGGCGGTACTAGCCTCAATGTCGGGATAAGGTACGCTCCACCTAGGACTTGAACTCGAGCGGTCGCCGAGGCGGCGACCAACGGCTTAACTACTTGGAGTTTGCGAGCCATAAATGATCCCTTCCGCACCAAATTGTCATCCGCATAAAATTCCAAGTATCCGAATAATACAATTCGCATTTGTCGGAATAATGTCTCCCCCTAATCGAAACGGTCCACTTTATGCTATTTGTACAATCTATAAAACATTGGAGGTATAAACTATTGAAATACACAGCACAACCATTTGAATTTCAAACGTACTTCGAAATATAATATTTCAAGTTATATTCACTTTGACCCGTTTCGTTTAGGGGGGGAGATCAGTAGTTCAATTTTAAGAAATTCTACTATACCATAACTTGAACAATGTAAATGTAATACCAGTCAACTTCTGTAGTACTCATTGTTTAAATAATGACGAGTTCTGTCAACGTCTGTACTCATTGTCTAAATAATGATGCGGCCTCCTGGCGAGAAAGGTGCCAATCACAGAGTCTCCCTTTCTGCTTTATCCGGACACCGGATAAAGGCACCTAATGATTCGCATACAAACATCAAGATCACTTTAATCGTCGGAATAATCCTGTTTTCCGGAATACGGATAATAGACTTGAAATCGGAGTTCCAACCGCACAATATTAAAAAGATGGCTGGGCATACAAACTTCAATACGAGGTGGAATCATCATCGATCGGACCGTTCTTCAACTCGTCACTCTTCGATTTGCTCGGCACCGCTCAGATCAAGATGACGTTCACGTTGCCAGAACTCAAGTACGAATACAACGCGTTGGAACCCTTTGTGGACACCCAAACGATGAACATCCACCACACCAAGCATCACCAAGCATACATCAACAACATTAACAACTACATCAACACGGTGCGTACACTCGGCCGGTCGAAGTAAGGTTTTTGTCTGAAGCATGGTTGTAATTATTCACAGGCCCAAGGTGAGGAATTGAAGACCAAGTCGATCCTGGAAGTTGTCAAGTCCGCGACTGCCCCTGCGGTCCGCAACAACGGTGGTGGACACTACAACCACAGCTTGTTCTGGACGTGGATGACCTCCCCTGGCTCGACCAACACTGCCCCCCATGGCAACTTGAAGGCCCGAATCGAACAAGATTTCGGATCCGTCGACCAAATGAAGGAGAAATTTAATGCTGCTGCGTCCACCCGCTTCGGCTCTGGCTGGGCCTGGTTGGGTGTGCGTGCTGACGGTTCCCTCGGCATTACCTCCACCCCTAACCAAGGTATGATGTCAACGTCTTACAACGAGGGTGTTTTCACCTGAACGTTGCACTTGCGTAGACAATCCGTTGATGCCCAACACAGAAGACCCCATGATCCCTATCCTCGGTTTGGACGTGTGGGAGCATGCGTACTACTTGAAGTACCAGAACCGCCGCCCCGAGTACATCTCGGCCTTCTGGAACGTGGCCAACTGGGACAAGGTGGTGGAGTACTACGACCAATACGCTTCTAAGGGCCAAGCCGTGCCCGTTTGAGGATCTGTGGCAGTTTTGCCGCTGTCGTCGTTGTGACCTTCTCGAAGCTTTCATTTTGATAATAGCAGTTTGTGCAAACGAACTTTATGTGCAACGTGCGAAGAATGTCACATGAGCTCTCAGCATTGTGCATCGAAGTGTTACGTCACAATTGATCATGTTCACATTGTCGTCGCAAGTGAGGGCTCTGCCGTTTGCACGGGTCCCACCCGCTTCGCCTACACTTCCTTACGACTTGTCTTGCTGACTGCCCAATGCTGTCCTTGCGTCCTCGGTCCGTTGTTAGGAGAGGTCCTCGACCATTCCTTTTTCTGTCATGGACACCACCCAGGGTGAGGTTGGTCATGGCCATGATTACCAATGCACCGTCACGGCGGTGAGCTTGTTTATTTCGCGAGTCACAGGATCAGCCAACTCAACTCGACGTGCTCTCGACTCTTTCCTGTAACCTCATCAAAGGTCGTCGCTATGTGGTCTGTCACTCCGGTGCCATGACGGCCTGCCATTCGCAGCCAAAGCGCCGTCGTCTTCGGTGGAAGTGCTCCATCACTGACAGCGTGAAAATTTTTAACGAGTCCCAACTTTGTCCAATCAAAGCAAGTAATCCGGCAATATTATCCAATCAAGGGTCGAGTTCCATTCGACGAAGATTTCCACAGCGCGATCGAAACTGTGGTGGAAAGATGCACCGCGTGCCTGGGAACCTTCTTCGTCGGCCATCATGGCACGCTGTGTCTCGTCGCACCTTTAGCGCTGTCGATACGTCCAGCACTCTCGAGCGCATTTGCATTGTCGGAGCAGGGCCTGCGGGTTTCTACACTGCCAAGTACCTCCTGCACGACCATCCCACCGTCCACATCGACATGTTTGAGGCGCTTCCCACCCCCTACGGTTCGTCAATTGCATGTTATGTGTCGTTGCTCGTGTCATTTGACAGTATGTTTGAACAGGTCTTGTTCGCTCTGGCGTGGCTCCCGATCACCCCGAGGTCAAGAATGTCATGCACGACTTTGAAAAAGTTGCCACCGATCCTCGCTTCTCCTTCTTTGGAAACGTGGACATTGGCAACGATATAACCGTGTCAGAGCTTCAAAAGCATTACAACGCCATTGTCATCGCAGCAGGGGCGTCCGACGATCGCAAGCTCGACATTCCAGGCGAAGACGAGCTGACTGGTGTCCTCGCAGCTCGGTGCGTCCTCACCGAAGGACATGCACGACCGTCTAATTCATCTTCCATGCTGCAGGTCGTTCGTGAATTGGTACAACGGCCACCCGTCGTTCCGCAACTTGCATGTGCCTATGGATTGCGACACTGCCGTCGTGGTCGGCCAGGGCAACGTTGCAGTCGATTGCGCGCGCATTCTGACGAAAAACCCCGAGGAATTGGCAACCACAGACATTTCCCAACACGCACTGGATGCACTAGCAAACAGGTACGTCGGCGACGCCCATCTCCCATTTAGTTTACCTTTTTCTGTGACATAGCGGTATTAAGAACGTCTATTTGGTCGGCCGTCGAGGTGTCGCCCAGGCAGCATTCACCATGAAAGAGCTTCGGGAAATCACAAAGCTGCCTCACGCCGACTGCATCGTCGACCCGAACGAGCTCGAACAAAGCGTGAATGCGAGTTCAGCCGAGGAGCTCAAAACATTGCGTCCCCAACGGCGCATCCACGAACTCCTGAGTACGTGAGATCGTCCTGTGATGAGGTCATCCAATTGTAACCAGCGTAATGGTCTCTGTAGCCACGGTGGCGTCGAAGCCAGCATCGTCCAACCGTAGTGCCATACGAATTCGCTTCCTCCTCTCGCCAGTCGAGCTCTTGCCTAGCGCCAAGGACCCCAACCGGTAGGAGCTACATCCCATGGCGCTCCACGTTTTTCGTGCATCGCTACAACATGCCTCGCCATCATTTGTCTCAAACATGCTCCATCTAGAGTTGGCGCGATCAAGGTGGAGAAGAATGTTCTGGATGGTGCGCCCTTCCACCAGCGAGCGGTTGGGTCTGGGGAATTCGAAACCATCCCGTGCGGGCTCGTGCTACGAAGCATCGGGTATAAATCGATGCCGTTTGCGGGGGTGCCATTCGATGGGAAGCGCAATGTCATTCCGAATGTGGCCGGCCGCGTCACGACTTCGGCCCACACCAACGCTCCTGTCGTCCCCGGACTCTATTGCGCCGGATGGATCAAGCGAGGGCCGTCTGGAATCATCGGCACTAATATCAATTGTGCCAGAGAGACGGTCGCTAGCGTGTTGAGCGATGCGGGATCGTTGCCTCGCGTGTCATTGAAACCCATTGCAGACCTGCGCGCCAAGCTCACGGCGTCGGGGCGGCCGATCGTGGACTGGAACATGTACCAGCGCGTCGAAGCCGCCGAAGTCGCGGCTGGTGCAGCTCGAGGAAAGCCCCGGGAGAAACTCACGTCCATTGATGCTATGCTCGCCCTCGTCACACAAAGCGCCTAGACGACATGCACGCAACCACCCGAAAACTCACAATTCCGTCCTGCAAACCCAAAAAGGGCGTACGCGTGAGTGTTATTAAAAACGATCAATGAAGCACTGGAGGTCGCGGTCGAAAGGTCATGTCGCCATCCAGTCACGGGTGAAATGTCCGTAGTTTGTCGGCTAGTACAGGCGAAACGTGCTTCGGCGACGAGGAAAAAGGCTCGACGACGTTCGGCGGCCCTTGGCGATGTGCTGCAGCAACCTCTGGCGCAACTGCAACAAGGTCGACGACGAGGTCGCTTGGTTCTGGTTGCTCACGACGCAGTCGACGATGTCGGGTGTGAGGCGGAAGAATGCGGCTTTTGCGTCGCCACGGGCGTACGCATCGTGTAGGTACGCGTGGAGCGGAACAAAGAGAGAACTGAGTTGACGTGCATGCAACCACGCGTCCAAGTCGGCTGGCGTCCAGTCTGCATTTTGATTCACGACAGGTTGGCTTCCTGGAGCTGCGTGGGGACCATGGGGTCTCTTGGCAGTCTCTGCAGTCTCGGGTACCTCGGAAGCGGCGGGCTGGCGGAGTTGCTGCGCTTTCACGGGGGACAATTTGACTTGGTTGTTCCAGTTGTCTTCGATCGGGCCATCCATACCGTGTTGTTGATTGAGTTCACGACAAGCGGCGTCCACGTGGTGCGATGGTTTGTTTGCTCGACGGTAGAGCTCAACGTGGTCTTGGACGGTCGCCATGACGTCGATGACCTTGAGAATGTCTTGGAAGGTGTGGAGGAGATTGTCGCGGGCACTTTGCGTTGGCATGGCGATCGTGACGACGTCTCCCGCAAACGATTCAAACGAGAGGTAAAACTGCGGGGGGGTCCTGGGCGTTGACGAGGCTACGTCAGAGGTAGGACCGTCGTCGGCACGGACAGCGTGGAGATGGGCCAAGTGCATGCCATGCACAGCCGACCCAAATACTTTCTTCTTGCCAAAGCACAAGTGCAAGTTGGACGGGTGGAGCCACAACATGACGAGCTGGGACGCTCCATGCGGGGACTGGAGCTCCACTACGGGCACGCCCTACTCAATGCCATCGAGTACCACCTCTCGAGAATGCGGACTACCTTGAGCACGAGCGAACGACGAGCACACGGTTTTGGTCTCGCCGTCGCTCGTGAGAGCGTCATGGTCCTCAACGAGACTTCGGGCAAGCGCAGCACACGCGTCTTCCCGACTCTTGAGCGAGCTCACTAACATGCCGATTTGCACAGGGATGGCGGACGTGAGCTAATTTTAGTCGCATGGACCGAGCTCCTTCCTGTCCTACACACAGGCTTGGATGCAGATTATTCGCCAAGACTGCATGGCCAAGCTACACCAGGTGTTATGCGCAAGCTACCGAGCTCGACAGGGCATGGCTCATCCTTGCCACACAATATGCACTCACCGATGAAGACGCCAAGCCATGCACTCGCCCCACGGGGCACGTCACCGACGAGCAAGTATACCCAGCACGCCATGCTCAAACTAAAATGTTGCGAGGAGAAAGTGACATTTCTTAGCTTAGCCGCGTTTAAGTACTCCGACAGGATGCATTTAGTCATCCTTTTCCGTCTTCTTGATGCCGCGGAGACGACCGGTACGACGGGCGGCAATGAGACCGACCTTCTTACCGGCAGGGGCATCGCGACGCACGGTCGAGGGGTGACCGATGTGTTGGTGGTTACCACCACCGTGGGGATGTTCCACAGGGTTCATGGCAACACCACGCACATGGGGCCACTCGTTGCGCTTGACGCGGTACTTGTGGTAGGCGCGACCAGCCTTCAAGATAGGCTTGTCGGTACGTCCACCGCCAGCAACCACACCGACCATGGCACGGCAGCTACAGGAAAAGAGTAAGTCTTTCATCACGACATTGTTCAAGGAGAAGGATGATCGATCGTTTAGACAATGCTGCAAGAGCCACGCTTCGAAAAGCAAAGGCTACAGAGATGCATGTCGACAACTTACGCACCGCATCAAGCGGGATACTTACTCACCGCATCAAGCGGGAAAAGCAGCAAGTGTGAAAAACACTCGCCGTCACACCAATCGACTCGACAACGGGTGAAGTGGGTGGGTACACAAGGACGAAATCCTTTTGCAGCACACGGGAATCACCGTCGCGAGTCGACTGGTGGACGCCACCGTCGTCACAGGACGAGGTTGATGGGGGCGCGATCGACCACCACTCGGCGAGGAGGGAGTCACTTACGCAGAAGGGATGGTCTTCTTGGAGCCGGACGGGAGACGGATCTTGGTCTTGCCCTTGTCTTCGTCGTGGGTGACGATGACGGCGTAGTCACCGGAGCAACGGGCGTACTTGCCCTTGTCGCCAATGCGGGCTTCGACGTTGCACACAATGGTACCTTCAGGCAATTGCGACAACGGCAAGATGTTGCCGACGGCCATGGTGGCCTTCTTCCCGGCGTAGATGAACATGCCGGTGTACATGCCTTCCGCGGCAATCATCAACTCGTGGTTGATGCGGTACTTGTACGGGTCACGGAACGACACGCGAGCCAAGGGTGCACCTCTGCCAGGGTCATGGATGATCTCCTTGATTACACCCTTGATGTATCCTTCACGTTCGACGTAGTCGTTGGTGCGGAAGGCGGCTTTGCCCTTGCGAGTCTTCACGTGCGACTTGAAGATGCCGCCGGCACCCTTGCGCTGGCCTCGAATGACACGACCCATGCTGGTTGATAAGAAATGTCAAGTGCTTCGTCGCCAGTCGAATCAATGCGAATATTAGGTTTCGAAGGTTTATATATGAAATGACTGGTTTCCACAAAGTATAAACTGACAAGGGATTTGCAGCGTTATGCGGATATGATGATCGATTATCCGGATATTGGACTTTCGAAAGGTCGCACGAAACGTTTGTAGGCTGGCTAGTTGGCCACGAGCGAGTGAATGCTGCTTCGCGCTCTGTACTTGGCCCTTCCTATGAGCTATTATGGCTTGTTAGCCTTCTCCGTGTGGATTTTGAACATTGCTGCTTCATGACGATTTGCCCCACTGGCCACCACTCGTCGCGCTATGCGGTCGAGTTGCTCGTGTGGCAGGGTGTTACAGCCTACTTGTATGGGCTTCAAGGAAACTGTGGCCTGCCAAGGCGTGTATGTTAAGTCGTCAAGCAACCTCACTTACCTCAAGTAAGCAACACAGGTTCGTGAATGTATCTCAATATCGACCATATCCATGAGCCAGATAACCAGTGGAGCACGCTGGGAGTCTCCCTTGTCCACGGCACACTTCCAGCGTTCGAACGGCAGTACAGTCATGCTTGACGTGTCCAAATGCTTGCACACACGTGCAGTTCAACACGATTTTACGAGAAAATGTCCATTTGGAAGCAGGTTGTTTTCATGTCGAGTGGCAGAATTCTTCGTGTTTGGCGGGTTAAATAGATCCAAAGTTTTCCAAGTCAGGCGCCGCATGCCCGCTAGAAGCCTACAATTCGGTGATCTTGTTTGGCATCGCGTCGATGCGAGGTTGGCTTGTCGTAGCGGCCCCCATCATGACGACATCCAGTACTGCCTGGACAACCTGTTGCTGTTGGAACTGCTGCATCCACGGGTGCGCCAATACTTGCTTCGCCGATGGCCGGAGATCGGGGTCCTTCTGCAGCATTTGATGGATCAAGTCCTTGGCTTCGGCGGACAAGTGCTTGCATGCGGCATGTTTGAACGTAACATGGCCCCTGCGGATGCGGCTTTCGATCGTCTTTTCAGGGGCCGTTCCGTCAATGTCAAACGGATGGCGTCCCGTCAGCACGATGTACAGAATGCATCCCATGGCCCAGACGTCCGCGGCGGGAGTGCAGTCGCCTCGCCGCAGCACTTCCGGCGGCAAGTACACTGTCGTGCCAATGTCTGTGTCAGTACCCACCGCGGGAGATGGAGGGCCGGCGCTGCCAAAGTCGACGAGTTTTGCGTGGTTGTCGTAGCGTTTGTCTTTAAACCTTAACAGGACGTTCTCCGGCTTCAAGTCCTTGTGAACGAGGCCGTGGTCGTGCAGGAAAGCAACGGCCTCGACGATGTCGTGCATCATTTTCCGCGCATGCGGTTCGTCGAACGCGCCGTACTTGACAATGTGGTTAAAGAGCTCGCCCCCCGACACAAGCTCGGTTACGATGCACGTCTTGCCGTCGTGCTCGAAGACGCCCTTGAGGTCCACAATGTTTTTGTGGCCACCTTGGGCCTTGATCCACTGCAGAGCTTCCAACTCGCGCTGCAATGAAGCATCTCGTGAATCTTTGAGCATCTTGATAGCGCAGACTTCGCCCGTCGTACGACGGATGCCGAGCCGTACTACGCCAAATGCGCCCGACCCGATCTCGTCAGCGAGGTCCCAGTCGGCAGCTGGATGTATAGTTGCTGCTGTCTTTGGGGACATGGTTGGGGGTGGAGGCAAGATCGACTCCGCTCGGGATTGCGCATCAGGGCTCAGTAACTTCCCCAGGCCCAACGCGGTGGTGCCAACTACCGCCGCCGCACCAAACGGGGACAATGGGAGTTGAAGGAGTCCACTTGATGTCGAAAGCTGCACTGGTTCGGGGAATACCTTGATTGCAGAGGGCGCGTGGTTGCGATAGGAAGCTAGGCGACAATTGCGTGGCGATGTGACGAGAATACGCGACGCGATGGAACGACTTGAGCGGGAGATTGCAGGACATGCCATTAGGCTGGGTGGGTTGTGTGGTTTGTTGCCGACTACAGGGAATGATCCACGCTCATCGACTCACCATGCCGACAAGGGACATGGAACGCCTTGCTGCCGGTGCGCCGTTTCACTTGCTTCCAAACGGACCAATGGCGGTGAAATGCCGCAATACCATTGGCTCCCTTGGATTCCGTTGCAGGTCCACAAAAAAACTTCCTCTATGGAGGAAGTATGGATAACCAGGGATGGTTTTTTATACCTAGGTGATGCAAGGTTTTTCTTTTAATCCTCACCTCCACCTGAGGCCCCAGGAGAGGTTTTAAAAAGGTTATAGTATTGCGGATTTCCTTGAAAATTGGAGTTTACCCCAAATAATATGGACGCGCTCAGATTCACGCAACATTGACGCATACAAAAAACAAGTCAAAATATTGAACGCTTGTTATCAGATTTATAAAATTGTCTCGAACGTGTTCTCTACATCCGCTCTTATCCGCTTCGGGACAGACAGATCCATCAGCATGGAGAATGCTCCCGCCGTCGCGGAGTCCTTCACAGTGCAGCTTCATCCTCATGTCCGCAACTTCAAGGGCCACAGCTCTGGTACTTCTTGCGACCGCATGACAATCACAGCGTCAACACTGGAGGAGTTCAAAATGCAACTCATTGACAGAGTTCTTCCCCACCTCAAACGCGAGGTTGAGTTTGATGGAGATACGCCATTGTGGGCACCAAGCGTAGTCGATGGCGACTTCGCGTAGACGCGGGATAATTCGGCCTTGGACACTCCAAGGAAGTAATACCCATAGAGGCAGTGGTATTTCGTGCTTTCATGGCATGCTGACCGGAAACGGCGTGACGTATCATGCGGTCCGGCGGTGACCTTCGTTCAAACAACTTCACACTATTCGATTTGAAATTTCAAACACTATTTGCATTTATGCTGAAATCATGTTGCCTGAAAGTTGTAATTAGTGTATGAGTAAATTGTTGGGGACGGGTAACGAATATCGGGAAAATCCAATTTTCAAGGAAATCCGCAATAATAGAATAAAATTACTGTATTGAGTAAGTACCTCGAGCTGCAGCCGGAAGACGCGCTCGATGTGGTCATCGTCGATGATGTTGATGATGATGCGATGGTCGTCCCCGCATCGGAACGGAAACGCGGTCACTCTGCTAGTGACATCTGGAACCTTTCCACCAACGATGTCGATCCGCAAATGGTCAAGAGTGCCAAATGCACTCTTGAACAGTATGAAGAATACTACACCACTTCCCCGCCAACTTGGAACCTACTTCCATCCAATGTGAAACGTCCGGATGGATATAAAATTTGACAAGTTGAGTGATATGCAAAAGTTCAGTCCAATATGAAATATTTTTCAATCAAAGTGAACCACAGAAGCGGGAAATGTAGGCGCTAAGGTTAATGACAAACAACGATAAGAGCACACTTTTCATTTCGATCTGTCTTGGATGCCCAACGAAACCCAGCGCAAGGGTTCCACCCCTGAGGAAAAGCAACGTGTGCTTGACGCCTACCTACGCGGCGACGATTGGAAGCTTGTTGCCAAGCACAATGGTGTATCCAAGGCCACGGCTTGGCGTGTGGTCGATATAGGACGGACGTCGTCGAAGCCGCGTGGCGGCTTTCGGCCAACTCAAGCCAAGGTAACTCCCGAAGTAAGAGCTGCGTTCGAGAGCTATTTGAACACTAACTGCCAATACACTCTTAGCGAAATCAGGTCGTATGTTGCCGCCGATTTTGCTGGGTTGTCGCTGTCGAATCAGCTGTCACCTCCTCGGCATGCTATTCACCATCAAGCAAGTGCGCATCGAGCCCGTTACTTGCAACAACGATATCAACAAGGAAAAGCGGCGTCAGTTCGCTCTTCAACTCAAGCAACATCAAGAAGACGGCGACTTTATCGTGTACTACGATGAAACCAACTTCAATCTCTACTGCAAGCGCGGTCGTGGGCGCTCCATCAAAGGGACACGTGCGACAATCGTTCTGCCGCCGTCGAAAGGGCTAAACCTTCAAGTCCAGTGTGCTGTGTCGGCTGAAATCGGCCTTGTCACGTACCGTATGGAGCGCGGCAGTATCAAGATGGATCAAAACGCGGCCTTCGTCGAGTCCATCTACCAAGCCGTCAAGGCCAGCGACGCATGGCAAGCTGGCTTCGTCAACAAGCGTGTTGTCATCGTGTTGGACAACGCGCCAGCGCACTCGCAAACTGAGGAACGTGTTGTCCAACACGACGACTTGACGCTCCTTCGTCTCGGGCCGTACTCCCCTATGCTCAATCCGATTGAGAGCTGCTTCAGTGTTTTCAAGGCGCGAATCAAGGCTTACCTGGCACATCATACTGCCGACATGTTTGACCGCGGTGAGTACAGTTCGTTTCTTGAACACCGGATGGTCTTGCTCGAGGACGCAGCTCGCAAATCGTTGCCTTGTATCACTCGGTCGCTGGTGACGCGAGAGGCTTCGCTCTGCCAGAACAATGTTGACAAGGTAATTCGACTGGAGGACATGGCTTATGGCCAGTAATTCATATTGAATGTGAAAATTTCAAGTCGAGATGTGAAATAGTTTGTTTCCTTCGAAAACGTGTGATTTTTATGCGTTCGGAACGTTTCGTATTTCACATTGGCCGGAACTAAATTTCAAGTTGGCCGGGAAGTGGTGTAGTACAACCAATGGTTTTATAGTTTCAAATTGAGATTTTAATGTTTTTAACCTATAACCTTATTTCCTCTAAAAGCAAGAGTTTTTCCATCCCTGTGGATACCCAACCTGTCAAGAGTGGGCAAAGCGAGATTCTGATGTATACTAATGTAAAATGGCAAGATATTTTACAATCTGTGTAGTTGCAAAGGCTTGCTCGAACTATTATCGATACTAGAGGCGTTGAGCGTCACTCTCACTTACAGCAGCCGAAGGTTCTTAAGCAATATTACTACGGAGAACTTACTACCCCCTCTGTATTTACACTGTATACAGATTGCTAGCAGAAGCTCAATAGAATAGTAAAATTAAAATAACTGAATCTAAATATATAAGTTAAGTCGTTCATCCGCATGTGGCACAACTAATCTGCAACTTCTTCTAACCTTTCCTCTTACTCTAGCCTCAAACTCATCGTATCTGCTGGTATTACAATACCAACTCGTCGTTATAGCTCAATTTACTGCGAAGGAGTGTAAACTATTGTCACCTTCGCATTCAATGAAAATGTTCATAGCATGACACAAGGTAGACAATGCTTTCTCAAGCGTCGACGGAGCCAGGTGCTCGAACGAAGTATTCACAGCGGCTATGAGCTCACCATTCGTCTGACACTCTAACAATTGTTGCAGAGCTTGAATAGAGTAGAAACCATAAGTCCAATACGTTCAGATCCGGGAACTTTGGTGATTGATTCCACATTCGATATCCCAGCCACCAGCACACGCAGTAGCAGCAAATGCGGAGCCTTCGTAAAATATGGCGCGCGCGTTGTCTTGTTGCAAATTCACTCTTGTATTTGACGTTGGCCATTTTTCCTTGTTCGCAGGCAAAACTTTGTCGCAAGTAGGTGGTGGTAAACATCGGGCGTCACAGTGATACAGTGCGCGCCAACCAATTAGGGCCACCAAGGTTTCGTGACCTATGGCATTTACTTCGAACTATTGCTGTGAGCGATTCAGAACTGGGGTGCATGAATGCACAACGGAACATTTCAGCAAGTATCAAAGTTATTTCCGATCCATTGTCATCGCAGAAAATGCAAAAAAGTGATTTGGATCCGCGACAGACAGTTAGGGGACACGCCAACAAAATGAATGTTTATGATGAAAGTCACCTCGATTACTCCAAAAATTTCTAGCTAGTAGTAGTCTATCTTAGCTCCTTGAGCGAGGATAACTTCAACACAACGCTTTGGCATGGACTTGGCAAGCTTCAAAAGGAAAGGAAGACCGATTTCCGACCAGGCTTTCTTGATGGCTCGTACGACCTCCAGTTTTGTCGAAAATTGGCGCCCGTTGACATAGACAGCACGCGCGTGGACCCCCCTCAGATTTTCGATAGGGTTTAGGTCTGGCGACAACGCAGGGTGGTCGAAAAGTGTAACGCCAAGATCGGCGAAAAACTCCATCGTGACCTTTGCACGATGAATCGAAGCTCCGTCTTGCATAAAGACGAAGGCTTCACCGCAATTTGCATGGAGACGGATGCTCGCTCTTCAGGCGACATTATGAGCCCATGTCCCATGCTACTAGTACGCACAGCTTGTTTAACATACATGAATTGACTATTGAAGTCTCACCTCAAATAAGTTTCAGATGCGGTAGCTACGAGGCTGAGTCGTGATTCTTGTCACACCAGTTTTGTTCACGAACACACCGATTTTGCTGACGCACACACCAAATCCTCAAAAACTGCTGTGAAGTGTCCAAACGTAGACACAAATGATATCGGATGTAGAA